ATATAATATATATATATATAATATATATAATATAATATATATAATATAATATATATATAATATATATAATATATATATATATTTTTTAGAGGCGTGCAATACATTAACAAAAATACTTTACCTCTTCCCCCTCTCTTGAAGCAATTCCTGTTATGACAGTGTTGTCTTCATTCAGTAAAATAGCTGCCACTCCAGCAAACATCTTTTTGAAGTGCTTCTGCAAACGAGCCACATTTTTGCTATTGCCAATGATCTCCAGAAGATCCTCATCACCCACAAAGTAGAATCTGAAACGGAGATTCATAGTAAATTTCTAAATCTAGAAGCAGCATATAGTTTATTTACGTAGTGAGTAAGAAAACTTTTTTAATAATAAAATGGAAAAAGTCAACTATTATAGGGCGTTTACCTCGGGAAAGAGGTTCTTTCCCTTTCAAGATACTCTCCAAGGGCCTTTTGGATTTTGCCCAGCAAATCAGCAAGACGCTCCAAGGAGCGCTGCACTGCAGGGATGTTCAACACATCCATGACCATGGGCGATTTGGTCACTTTCTTCATGAGTCCAAGAAACTCAGAGCTGAAAATTATTTGCCATGAGAAACTCCACCCAGATTCCACACATCACACAATGATTCTAAGCCAATTTGAAGGAAGTTCAAAATTTGATTAAACGAAAGGTTTTGCACAATAAAGCACGACAGCACTACACATCTTCTGCACATGCGCAGCTCGAGTTTCGCATTACTTTTCTACAGCAATGCATAGAAGATTGAGATTGCAGTCAATTGTTGCATGCTACACAATGCAAAACTCTGTACTGTGAATTGCATTATCAAAGAACTTAAGACATCAGCTTTCAAGTAACATCGCAAACTTAATGAAATAAGAATCCTGAAACCAAGATGGACAGATCTTGGTATAAATCAAAAATATAACAAAACTGAAAACACACAACATTCCAAAACATACAAACTGAATTCATTCCAAGCCAGAGGCAGTCATTCAAACAAGACCAATGTTTTTCGAGCGGTCTGGGTTGAGACTTGCTGGTCAAAGACTAGAGACCAGACACAACGAAAACTTGTCGTATAGTAACTCAAACACGGTTTCATATTACTAAATATATTTCCTAAACATTCCCCCACCTTTAACACATTACAACCTACATTTCATATCTGCCTCACAAAACTACTCTTTTGAGATAATATAAAACCGCCCTACAATAAATTATGAAATTAATTACAACAAAAATTTCCAACAAAAACCGTACCAACTTACCTGATACTTTGGAAGCGAGATGTTTCAACTGGAAGGAGGACTTTGATGTCAGCACTGCCACTGAAAATGCCTTCAAGATAAACCCAGCGGCGCTGCACATCTATCCATACATCAAATAATGCATTGATGCGATTTAATTTCTCTTCCCAAGTTAGAGCTTCTTCTTCAAACACCTGCAAAATGCCCAAGAAATCTTATATTCAAAATTTCCTAGTAATCAAATTCTTAATACAAATCACAGAGACAAAATTAATAAGGTTTGTTATACATTAAAGTCAAAAATATGGAACCAAATAAATTATTCCACAAAACAAATATACAATTCTCTGAAATTAAATCCAGAGCATCTTTAGCAGGACAAAATTGGGCTTTTATAATATAATGGTTTTTTGTATCTTATTATATATTACTTTACCACTACAATGACAATTTTGTCCAAATAGAATAATATAGTAATATGAATAATAGTAAGATGCAATCACTTTTATTCATGTAATTTCCAAATAAAAATGTAATAAATACAACTCTAGAATTATTCCAATAAATATCACTGTATGACTATTCATATTTCAGGATCACAGACTCTAGGAAAGATACATTATTTAAGCCTATCTAAATTATCTTTGACATTCCAGTCGGAGGATTATTTTTTGAACGTTCTGTGTTATAAACTGTAGAATAAAATAACACAGATTGTCTATTCCTTCTAGTGTGAAATTAAAAAAATAATTTAATCTCTTTCTTTCTTCACAATTAATGAAAAATATACTTTATTACCTTGTAGTAGGGAGAAAGTTTCATGGCTGCTACAGAGTTGATATGTTCCTTGACTTTGTTGAACAGGTCATCCCACCCTCGAATCAGGCGGCATTTGTTTTGATAGTTAATGAGATCCAGCTCATAGTTCTGCCAAGATTCTCGAACCTGAGACAGATATTAGTTTTGAAGAGACACAAAACAAACATTATTGGCATATTTAACATCATTCCACATGCTTAATTCTCCCATAAGAAAATGCAATTCTTGAACACAAAAAGGACAAAATTCGAAGAAAATTATAAATATCACACAAACGTGATTATTAATTGAATAGTTAACATGTACTTTAAAGAAAGAAATGGCAAAAGCAAGAGAGGAGTAAAACAGACAAAAACAGAAAAAATGTAGGGTATTAACTGATCAGACTCTCAGTCACATTTCGCAATAAGATTATTGTACTTCAGAATAAAGCTAGAATTTCAGAGACTGTTCGCATTCCTATGATAACACTAGTTACATTTCCTATGCAACAGTGAACCAGAAGCTTTGACATTTGCAAAGTTGTCACCTCAATTTATAGAACAAATGACTTGTATGCCCACATTGTTGCAGAAATTAGCTGAGCATTATTAAAAGTATCAAGAGGTTAAAATCAGCACCTGTGCAGCATCTCCTGTGCTAATTCATTGGTTGCAGCTAATCTGACATCATAGCATGGTATCTTCAGTATATGAGATGTTCAGACATGTGAGCAATATTTTTGATACTCATTGATGCGAAACCAAATTGGGGAGTGGTTGGCAATTAACATACAGAAATTATGCACATTTACTTCACAAATGTTCACTAATTCCTGCTTCAGCCATTTTATTCCCTATTATTTTTGTCATTCCGTCAATAGGAGCATGTTTGTATGATTTGATTGCATTTGTGTAGCTAAAATGTAATGAAAGTACAAATTAAAACTTACTTTTTAAGAAACATTATTTACATCCATAATTTTGTTCTTATAATTTATAATTTTAATTGATTTATAAACTTGTAATTTTGTCTAAGGTGAGTTAATTAAAAGTGTGAAGTGCACAAGGGTTTGAAATTTTCTATTTACAATTTGGTAGCTTAATTTGGTATTTGGTAACATTTGGTAACTTAATTCACAAGCATACATATTCTCATCTGTTTTTCACACAATTTGTATCCATTCTTAGAAAAAACCCTTTAAGACATCAATAGCTGGTGCTCTAGCCCTAATGGAGGTGAAAGCATACATTTTGCAGAGAAATGTGGTTTTCAATAAGGTTCAACTGTTTTACAACCTGTCAACAAATTCATCTACTGACCTAAATAGACCATAATGTCATAGAGTGCATACTTTGCGATATTAGCCCTTCCACATCATCTGTCAACCACTTTAATTTGAATGATCTTACAGCAGTAATGAACTGAATTTTTTTGAAATAGTAGAAGTATGATTTTAGATAATGTGTTGTTAACCAGCATTCTGTGAAGTTAAAATAACCATGATGAGAGTTTTGTTAACCAACAAATTGTTACATCCCAGCATTTAGTTGCACTGTTATATATTGTGTACATACAATATAATTATTTGCTAATATAAAACACTGTTAATACCCAATAATTTCTGAAAGACATAGATGAGTTTTGAATTAATAAAATAGATCAGAAAAGATTACTACATTCACTTTTCACGTTATCAAAGTCACCAAACTTCATATTGTTAGATCAAACTCAGCCATCTCCACACTTCAAATGCCAATTATGAGGTGGCTAACAATAAATTATTGAACTCTGTCCGTTTCTTCTACCTCGCTCATCATAATGTTGCATTAACACGTCACCAGGCACTCCTTTTACTCCTCCTGTAGATTCCCCTGCTGGTGGGTGTACGTGCACTTCTCAAGAAGGGGTTGCCGATTTCCTTCTTAATTCCCTTTTCGCATCTACAAGCATGTGAGCCCGTACACTTCATTTGTTTTTCTTGCTGAATAGAATAACTTTAGTACCAATGGTTAGATAATATGTTTATTTTAGGTCGGATTAACCACTTGTGTTATTAGTACAAATGGCTTGGCTGTTTTCTCAAGGTTCTTACCTTAAGTTTTCAAAGAATTATTTTACTTACAAGAGTTTGTATAAAAATTCAATTTTTGCAGAAAAGAGAGAATAAAGAGTTGAGGGGGAAAAAAAGGAGACAAGCAAGTGAAGTATGAACAATATAAAAAATGTCGCTGAGGGGGCTGCAAAAACCAAAAGCAGACCTACCTGTTTCAAGAACTCCTCCAGCGCCATCTCTCCCTGAGCAATCAAAATTATGTCTTTAACAACTGCTTCGTTCTTCTGCAAGTTCACATCCCACACTTGTCCAAGTGTCAAGTCAGACAACACCCAGTTAACACGCAGCTGCTTCATCAACTGCTTCCAATGACGCTCTTTGAGAGCATCAGACTTCAACTCAACAATCATCATGTTCACCTAATACAAAAAAGTAATTTACAATATAAGCATTCACATACAATACGAACAAGTCCCATAAATCATGGGACACCGAAAGTAACAATAAGTTACAACACAATTTATAATAAACTAGTTTCTCTGGTTGGGAACAGTTTATTTACATAAGAACAGTAACAGAATTTTGAATATCATAAAATGAACAACTCAGTAGTTACCCCGAATAAAGATCTAACTCCCAAAATGAACTTTTTCCAGAAAATAAAAAAGACCTGTTATGAGTGTAAACACTTATTTCTGTAAAAAATCTACATACCATCAATAAACTATGTACTGTGAATCACTCTTTTAAGTCCAATTTTAGTCAACAGTGATATTGAAGCAGGCAGGCATGTTACAAAATAGAGCGCCAATGGTCATACTTTCTTATGTCTATGTTTTATTAATAACTGAACATTTATAAGATACTTATTTTTTCTCAAAAATTAGCCAATTTTTTCTTGTGAAAGTTGGCAATCCTAACCTACAGCTGTACCTAGAGAAACTAGTGCCTCGAAGTTGCGCCCTCCAGTTTTGTCTCCGATTTTGATGGAGAGTTCAAAGGCCCTGCTCTTACCTTTGTGTAGCCTTGCAGAAGCCTCTTCACATACTCATACGAAGAGTACTGTCTGAGCCTTGCAGGCAGCTCCTTCAGCTGGGCTACCAGTGTGTCCAATTGCTGCCTAAGCTTCCTGGGCTGCACAGACAGCCAAGGTTTCTCGCGCAGCTCATCAATCTGGGCCCAGATGCGTGACAACTCCGACCACACTCCACGCAAGTCCTGCAGCTCCTCCAGAACAACCTGCATGCGATCCTCACTGGTACTGACACCACCTGGAACATTGAGTTTTACAGGTGAATAACGAAATATTTGGGTAGACCTGACATTCCTTTTTGAAATCATCCATTCAACCCTATCTGTAACATAATTTCTTGCGTTCCTGCAATATTATCGATAAGTTTGAGCAAATGGAGCAAGACAGAAACTTTTGTCCCCCCACCCCCACCCCCACCAATCACACAATTGTTCCGAATGATTGGAACGTCTGGCGGCACAAATCTGTAGTTTTTATAGAATGCAATACTGTAGTTAAGTGAGAGTTTCGGAGATTGAATTTCAAGAAGGATGAAAGTTCTAATAAAATGTTTCAGAACTGCTATTGCAAGGGTGCAATAGATCATTCAATGGTACAATAAATGCTTTCATTCTCACAAATAAGTCAGAGGACCAATCTTTCAACAAGTGGGCAAGTTTTTATAAAAACCTTGGACTGACCATCATCAACTTCAAGTAGCCCTCTCAATTTTCTTATTTTTATCTTATATAATTCAATTCACAGTTTAGTAGAGTATTTCACACTAAAGAAAATATTAAATTAATTTGGTGCCTGTTAAAACTAGTCAGTTCTCGAATTTCCCTGTGCAAAAGAGAAATTTATCAATGTTTGTGCCAATTATTCTGTGCAAACATTTTCTAAGAAACATCTAGTTTTTTAATTGGGTTTGAAAATACTTTGCCTTTCCTTGACAACAAAGGTGTTTCTTCTACAAATTCTTTAGCTTTGCCAGATCAATGAAGTTCCCTGACTTTTCACAGTTTACCAGAAAGTAACAACTCTGTTTATTTGTTTATTTACGCCAAAAGCAGTTAAAAACTGTTGATATTTGACTCCTTACTTGCCTTCACTAACAAAGATGGCCATTGACACAGGCCATCACATGGCTTCTGTGGATAAAGGTAGCGACCTTGTTAGGCAGCCAGCATCACAGCAGGAAAAAAAACACTTCCATTCCTTCTGTCACCCTCTACTCAACTCCAACTAAAAGTTTGAAACTCTTTCTTCTAATCCCTATCCTACCCTTTCCAATAAAATGTACAATCACATTAAACATGGATTTGAAGGGCTTGGGGAGCAGTAACAAGATAAGTCATGCTAGCCAAGTAAACTTCCCACTGTTCGTAAATGTTAATACCTCAATTTTAGTGAAAATATGGCTTATCTTGTTACTTGAAATGTGTTGTCGATATTTATGAAGAGCTTGGGTAATTACAAAATGAGTCGCAGTTCACCCTAAACCGAAATATTAATATTTATGAGTAGCTGGATGCTTTTTAATGCTCATGTGACTATCTTACTGCTCCAAGCCCTACTATTCCACTCTAGCACCATTTACTTCGCATTAAGCAATTTGACACCCAAAGAACCCTTCCTTATAATCTGCATGCACCAACAGAATTTGAGGCTCACAATAATGTTCTATAGCACAAAGATATGAAAGACAAAAATAGTCCACCAGGTCCTAAATACAGGTTCACAACTCCAGATGTGACATGTCACCTTATGTGACATGTGACCTTATGACATGTCACAAATATTAATTTTTCCTGATCTCAATTTTTACTTAGTATCTTTTTATGACAAAGAATACTGTGTAATTTCACAAAAAGTCACCCTCAGGTTTTTTCAAGTAAGAACAGCTTTGTTATAGTTTGTTATTCATAAGTAAATTTCATTTTACATTTCAACCAGTTTCATTAAGTTGAAATAAGTTTCATGCTGTGGTGAATGAGAAAATTAAGTTCATATGCAGTACTTCTGTGACTACCGATGCTAAAACAACAACCAATACACACACACACACATACAAACATGTTAGTCTAAAGATTAAATCTCTACAAGCAATTCCATTCATTTGCTAATATGTTAGTAAATATATGGTAAATATTGCTTCATAAAATTTTGCTGTATATTTCTTTTTAAAACATGTAATTTAGTTAGTAGTAACATTCATAATAAGAGAGAAAAATGAATCCTTATTCAGTTAATTAAATTTTCAAGAATTTCTGAAAGTTGCTATCATATATGTTTGAATTTTCAAATCAAGATCACTGTTCTCACTTTCTTAGTACAATAAGAAAGACAACAAAACTAACACATGCTGCGTAAATACACCAAGAAATTCTGATAAAAATTGACAAGAGATTAACAAAACTGCTATTTTTTTTTAAAAATGTCCATCCTTATTGCATTTTCTCAAACATTTCCTTCACACTACAAACTTCGAAACACAACATGCTGTTAACATGGGGTCAGTATTCAGAATCAATCACTTCTACAAAAGCAATAGCTCTAGACACATACTGGCTTCCTCAGGCCTGTCCATATGACCATCATGGGGTAAAAGCTTCACCAATCCTGAGACAAAGCAAATATTCTAATGAGATTAACAGCTTACGTACTGCAGCTAAAGGAATTCAAGTTTACCAAGGGCTATGCAGGATTTGCTTCTACCAAGACTAACTAATCTGTATTAGAAACAACTGCAAATGGGATGATATAGAAAGTAAACCAATATACATTAAAAATAAAGAAACTGGAAGCCATTGAAATTTATCTTCATGGCACAATTATGCTCATTTCAATTCACTTATTTCTTTTTAGCCAAGTAAAACTGAATGATTGTAAACAGGAACTTGGCAGATGACATACTAAAAACTCTTTCAGAGATTGTTCTATTCAAATTACCCAAACCTGATGGGTTTTGTTATGAAGCTGTGACTGGCAGGTGCAAACAAACGTTCATCTTAAAATCTCACAATAATACATTTTGACTTCCTATGATACTTTCATGAACATGGAAAACATGGCTTCTTCCCTTTAATTAGAGCTTAAACCACTAAGACTCATCTTAGTTTCTGCAAGGCTTTAGTTGAAGTGAGTTAAGAGTATTATGGAAAGCTAAAGAATTAAGAAATGTACCTGGTTCCTGAAGTTCAAGAGCTTCCTTCGCCTTTGCAACATTATCTCTCTCTTCTTTCAGTCGCGCAAACTTTGTTTCATACAATTGCAGATGCTGCAGAGCTTCGTCTGGACGCAAATGGCCCTCAACTGGCTTGCTGCGTTCCCAATCCACTAAGAAGTCGTTGGTCCTCGTTTCCACTGCACGGTCCTCTGCCACAATCTTCATTTGGAGGCTTGCAACCTGGTTTAAAATTCTTTTGATTAATCATTAATGGATCACTGAAAATGCTTGGTTTTATTCAAAGAAAAACGTCTTTCTTTCAATCTTTGATATGTCCAGTATTGTACAACTCTTTAGCTAAATCAAAATTTATGTATGGTTGTCTTATTTGGTTCCCTAGACTCGTTATATTGTCAAAATATTCAAAGTTTCCAATATTTGGAAAAAAAAATAAATGAAAGAAAGAAAGAAAGAAAGAAAGAAAGAAAGAAAGAAAGAAAGAAAGAAAGAAAGAAAGAAAGAAAGTTCAATACAGTTCTTTTTCTTATATAAAGGTTAAATTTAAAATTCCATATCCTTTTGACTTTTATAAGTATTTAATTAAATTTGTAACACACTCCATTTACCATTTTAATCTTCTCATAAATTACAGGATATATTAAATATGTTCCAAACCTTAACTGGTACAATATATTCCCTAATACTGGATTTCGAGTTCCTTGCGTGTCAACACATAATCCTTCGTTATTTTCTGTCCAACCTGTGAATACCGACTATCAAATGAATGATACCTTCTACCATACTGCCTCTACTGCTAAGAAGTATTGATTTTTTAAACATTACTTACTCAAGCTATGTACGTACTATTCAAGAATTGATCTATGAAACCATCTGATTTGTAATTAGATATTGTTCGGAGGGGGGGGGGGTATTGAACCATGCATGAAATCAGGCACTACCATGAATGAGACTATTTTGAATTTCTCAATTCACCAGAAAAAATTCCTTAAATCTACAGTTAAACCTATTTCTACATTAAGGAGATGTTGACCCCAACAGGGTGTGCGCAAGGCGCAATATTCTTGCCTGACAAGGATGCAAGGGACTTTCACATTTGTCTAATAACCTTTCGCAGGCCTCAATAAATGGCACTGCAGACCACATGCGGCCAGTCAGTTGGACAGCCCTAGTGTTGAAAATGGTATTTCTAACAAGAAAGTTGAAACTAATTAGAAGAACTATCACAACTTTCTTGATTATCGCGAGTACTCTTGGGTTGGGTGTTTAGTATCATAAAATATTATCACAATGTATCTGGTGCTCATGTACTAGTTTGTGTTCTTTCTTAACTCTCCCTAGGATAAATTGTTGGAGTCAGCAAGTAGTTTACAAAATAATCACTAGATGCCTCTGATATGGACAGCCATGCACAGGCGTATGTTTCATGGAATTTTTATATTTGAGAGGAATTAAATTATCTATTTTTGTAAATAAAACATTAAATTGTTATATTATAAGAGTTGATAAACAGGAGTAAATAAAAAAAGAATACTTTTTCTGAGAAAAAATATTAGTGCAGAAAATGGTTGAAATTATAATAGTGACTTTCAAGAAACAGTAAATAGTACAATATCAGATATTTCAAATTGGTTCCGTAATAATATATTAATAGTAAATGAAAAGAAAACCGTTTCAATGCAGTTTTCCATTTCAAATAAACAGCTCTGCACATCACTGAAAATAAACGGTGTGCCATTGAATGATGTTTAGGTCTTTCAATTCAGTCAAACCTTAAATGGAACGTCCATCTAAATGAATTGAACACTAAATTAAGTACTTTGTGCTATTCTTTCAAATTCAGTCAGCCTAAACTCTGCTCGTTGTGTATATTTCGTGAATGTTCATTCCCGCCTGATATATGACATAATATTCTGGGGAAATACATCTTATAGTTCCCAGACTTTTAGATTATAAAATTGAATAGTACAAATAATAAGTAAATCCCACCCATGTGATTCAAGCCTCTCTTTATTCATCTACGTATTTTACCATTACCTTGTCTTTTCATATATGAATCAGTGGTTTTGGTCAAAAATGACTTGCCTAAGGGCAGGAATATATTTTCACCAAACGCCGTTGTCTATAACCACAACACTCGACGTAGTAATCTTATTCATCAGGTGACAGTATCAATAGCTCACTACAAAAAATTCACATTTAATACATGTACATTATTTAACAACACCTTGCCAGATGACATTAAACGATTAAATTCGATACAAAAGTTTAAGTCCCAATAAAATCTTTTCTGCTGTACAACTGTTTCTATAAAATTAAGAGACTATACTGGGTATCCAAAAAAAAAGTAATATTAATTTTAACAATGACATTTAATGTATTTTATACCACTCGGATTGTATAATTATATAGAACCTGCAACAAGTATTGTACTTCAGGTTTTGGATCTCTCACCCCCATCTCGATCAGGTTTCATCCAGTTTCCCTGATCCTCGAGCAAATGCTGAGACGGCCTCTTGTTTTGCTTCTGGACATAAATGTAACTTCAAATTAACTTCTCCCCACTGCACAGCTTTTAACTGTTTTTGACGTAAATAAATAAATAAATAAATAAACACCACTACCATCTTTATCTTCAAATTCATCATTGTCTCTTTCTTTTCTAATCTACAAATAAAGCATACAGCACTCTCCTGAAAGTTGCCCTTATTATCTGAAGCAATTTAAGAACATTCCCTTTGTGATCACCAAATCTTCTTCTTGTCATGTTATTGTTTCAAGTGTCTCATTATTTAACAGTTTTTTTTAAAGCGTATGCTTTCACTTCTTTCACATTCACATCATTTTAAGCTGTGGACTGCAAACTCATACAATCTGTTTCACAGGTAGTGCAGGAGAAAGCAGAAAGTTCCCAAATTTGGGGAGTTTTCTTTAAACAACCTGCCTCTATGGTTGGATGTAGAATGTGTACTTCTATCAATGTGAAATTTTTCATTTTGAGTCTTGCAAAACAGATTTGCACTCATGAGGCGTCAAACAGTCGGAAAATCTGAGGAAATCTTGGCAACAATTTTTATACTTTTTCAGGTTGCATTTCACTTACTATAATACAATTCATTCAAGAATGATATTGTGTGGGCATTTACCGGCCCATTAAAAAATATTGGTTTAGATCACCCGGCAAATTTGCATTGGATAAAAATATGTCTGAATATAATTGTATATTATAGGTGTGCATGGTATTTATTGCCTTTGCAACTTGTGTGTTAACATTTGAGTTTCCTATCTAGCAAGACAATCTGCAAATATAAGAGAACCCCTTATTTATCAAATGAGATATTTACGAGAAGAGAAAAAGTGTCTTATATTCAGGTAAATTCGGTACTCAAAAAAACTGTATTGTTACAAAAATGAAGATGCTAAAATTTTTGGTACAACTAGTAACCTGCAAATCAATAGATTAACCAATCACGACAAACTATTTGAGATTAATTGAAACTTTTATAATTAAATTTCTTTAGACATCACATACTAGAATTTGGATAGGTTTGTGCAAATAAACAGTACCATATTTACCCGAGTGTAAGTCTAGGTTTTTTCCTAAGTACCTTCTTTTGAAAAATAGGGTCATCTTAGTTTTGCACATTAAGTCAGAAGATTAGGATATATGTTTTTAAAATTGTCATTCCATGTCACAAAACTCGTAAATCTTGATGAAACGATATGCTGTGAAGATGACGGAACTATCATGGATATATATAATACGTAATTATATTTACGGACGTATTCTCAGCATACTGTGAATTTGCAGTTCAATTCAGATTGATATTTTTGAATGAGTTGGTAGAGAGATACTCAAATGAACGGCTTTGTATCAAGGGAAACACAATGTAATAATACATATAAAACATTGCAGATTTTGTTACTCAATGTTCTGTTTGATGGTCGTAATATGGAAGGAGGACCAAAAAGAAAGAAACCAAGATACATGTGAAGAAGAGGGTAGTGACAAAAACCATAGTTATGATGATTATAAAAAGCAAGAAAATAGTGATAGGTCATGCAATAATTTTAAACATTCTCATCAACAAGGCAATTACAGTGAAACCCCTTTTTTACACTTTTCAGGGGACCGATGGAAAAAAGAGTAAAATGCAGGAAAGTTAAAAAATGATAGGCTAAGCGAGTACTTACATTATTTATTACAAGGACTTGTTTACGTAATTAAATTACTCATATTGCACTTTAAATAATTTACAAATTACACTTAAACTATTTTAAAAAATCTAAAATTGTCATTCATTTTTGTTTCTTCTGTAAATAAATTTCTGCAACCTGCCTCTCCTCTATATACAATGCTTTGAATGCATCCTCACCACCTGATACGCTCTCAATGAATTGCCTCAAAATAGTGATTGCATCCATTGCTTTGCCAATTGTCAGGACAACAGGTTCTGGATCTGAGTCTTCGCTAACTTCTTGTTCTAGGTGGTTGGAAATATTCTCCTCCACAGTAGGTAATACTGAAGTCCTAATTTCAGCATCAACATTTACATAATCTTAAAATGGAGATCCTGCCATCACTGACCAGTGATTAGGCTCCACTAAATATCCTGTTCAAAATTCTTGTCTTCTACAAACTTGACACCAGCCTTATTGAAGCAGTTGGAAATTGCTTCAGGAGTCACACTTCACCATTCTTTGGCCACATAATGCATGGCATCAAGAATTGATATGATCATCAACTTTGTATCCATACCATTATCATTCATAAACAAAGCTTTTTCAACCAGCATTTTTCTGTACTTCCATTTAAAAGAATGAATTATGCCTAAAATCCAGTGATTGGAGAATGCTAGTACAATTAGGGGGAAAGAATACTAATTTTATATTTCTGAGCTGCAGATCTGTAGGGTGGGCAGGACATCTATCAAGCAGTAATAACACTTTCGGATTTCTTGCTCCCATTTTCGCATCCAGAGCATGCATGGTGGAGAAGAAGACACTGCTGGTCATCCACGCACTACTGTTTGCCTCATATTTGGTTGGTAATTTTTTGATGTGTTTAAAACACCTTGGTTTTTTAAATTTTCCTATTACTAATGGTGGTGAATTTTCGGAGGCATCAGCATTCACCATTAACAAGACAGTTACCCACAGTTTGTTGAGCTTCCCACCATGGCACTTTTCCCCTTTGAAACACAATGTCTTACTTGGCACAACGTTATAAAAAAGTCCTGTTTCATCAACATCGAAAACGTTTTGGTTTTTTTTGTAGTCCTGGATAACTGAGGCAAGTTCATGTTTCCATTTGGTAATAGTATCCCCAACAACACTTCGACTTTCCCCACACACCTGGTTAGAAACAATATTATGGCGGGTCTTGATGCGATCCATCTATCCATTTGATGCTGTGAATTCTGCAATCCCTAACTTTGCTGCAAATTGGAGGGCTTTTGCTCGCAAAAGGTTGCCATCAAGTGAAATACCCAATGACCTCATGGCAGTAAACCACTCCGCCACAAGTTCGTCCAACTCATCGTAGGATGATGATTTTACGCTCTCTTTTTTTTTTTTTTTTCTCTCCCAATTGTGTTTCTGTTTTTAATTATAGTGCTCAATGTGAAGCTCCTTGGCCAACTGAACACGTGTTCCCATATGCACATCAACACAATGCAAAATCTCTACCTTCTCTTTCAATGACATGCATTTCCTGTCTTTCTTTTCCATATTATAGTTTCCACCATCTTCAACAACAACGTATCTTTAACGATCACCTCTCACACAAACACAGCAAGCCGACTACGAGACGAGACTATCACTATGTCTACAAAACGTGCAATATACCCGGAAATAGGAAACGGCTGATGCCACATGAAAACATGGGTTACATGCGACAATTCCGCTGATATCGATTCAAAAACCAGTTTTGCCTTAAAAAAGCAGCAAAAGATGGGAAGCACTTGATATTAAAGTTGTAAATTGCGGGAAGAGAATTCATTATAAATATAGGCTTTTTGATGGGACCAACAAAAAATTACATAAAAGACAGAAAAACGTAAAAGCGGGGTTTTACTGTACTTAGTCAATAGACAATTTGCAATTTTATTTGGACAAATATAGTAAGAATTAGTTTCAAACCCTCTTATATTTAGTCGGATAACTTTCACTTTGAAAATTTAAAGGAATTTGGTGTGTAAACGATTTTATATACTCTGGCTATTAGCCTGTTGGTATAATAAAATACAGAATAAAAAAGAAAAATATTCAAGTTTCGGATATTATATTGCTAGAGAAAGTTATCCAAAAATATATGCTGAAAACAGATGACGTAGCATGTAAAACATAACTTAAAAAATTAGGAGCTACAAAAGCATATACTTTCACACATTATTTGAAATTTTTGAAAATTCAGAGAACGTAATGAAAATCACACCTATGCCATTTCTACAAATTAACTCTTTTTGAGAAAACAATCTGAAGAAAAAAAAATTGAACCTTTTTTCAGAATATTTTGAAAATGGCAAATGAGAATTCATGCAAAGTACCCTGTAAATCAAAAAAAATTTCAAATTTAAGGGGCCACAATATCAGCCAGATTGATCAGGTAATTTCAATTTTGAATTCTGTTGATGATTTAACCGCTAGCATCCTTAACAAATGGATAGCTAATTTTTTACCGTGAACTGATTTTTTGAAATTAGTAACACAAAATGTGAATTCCGACTACACAAAGTAATAGAGGAAAATATCTACTTTATATAGATGCAAGAACTATCCATTGGTTTGGTATGAGAGACCCACAATACATGGTTTTCTGATAAAAATAGTTATTTTTCGCTGCAGCACTTCAAAGCGAGGAAGTAACAGGCAAATTCCAAATTGGCTAACAGGTTAAAAGAGAAAATATAACTGACCTGAGTTTGAATTGAAGAATCTTTGCGCTTAATAATCTCATTGAAAGCGCTCCATTCTCCTTCAATGTTATCCACGTGCAACCAGGAGTTTGGAAATTGAAATCTTTGGCGTTCTAGAATTCGTTGGCCTTCACGATACACTTCCACCTACAAAGAATAATTTCAGTGTCAACTTCTGAACATAATTTAGAATTTTCATTAACAGGCAGTAAAATGAATTATTGGTTATATTTTTCAGCATCAAAATTATAAACTGCAATGCATTATTTACATTAACAAAATGATTGACTAGTAGTAAGGTAGCAGTAATTGTAGCACTAGTAGTAATAGTAGAAGAACAACAGGAGAGAAGAAAAACAAGAAGAGATTTATTCTCAAAATTACATACCTGTTTTTCCCAGGCTTTCATTTTTCTCTTCAGAGATTGCACATAAGTAATAAAGGTCACCGCATCTGAGGTGCTAGCAGCTTCAATGGACTGTTGTTCCAGTTCACTTCGTGACTGCAAAGGGAATGGAATAAATAAGTCAAATTGATGCCGAAGCATTCCTTGTTGCTATTATGTTAAAAAAAAGATTTACACCTGTGCAAAAAATGATGCATCTAAAAACATGAAAGTTTGAAGGAGAAAGGTATTGATCAGAATGATACCATTTTTTCCCACAGGCAAGAGCAAAGTGGTTATCTCTATACTCTGACTGTTTTGTTAATTGTTTTTAAAGAATTTTTACTTGAAAAAACATCTCAATAACTTCAATACTAAAACATTAATTTGTAAAACAATAAGTCTATAGTCAGATTACCTTGGAGACTTGAGTGTGAAATTGAGACATTTCATTGCCCAATAAGCTTCCAAACTTGCTCAAGGTCTCTTTGTGCCATGAATCATACTTCAACGACACTTTACTCTGTACTTTAGTGTAATCTATAACAATGGGACCAAACTCTCGACGCGTTTCTGATGTATCAAAGGTGGTTCGTGATTTTCTGGAAAATTCCAAAACCAGTATTAAAAAAATGCTTCAGAAAATTTTATTTTGCAAATGCTTTAGAATATTGCCCAATAAACACAATCATAAACAACACTGTTTCCACATACTTTGAATTTCATTTACTGAAATTTATTTGCACCTAATGCAGTGAAACTTACCACCAGAGATCAATAACTAGTACTCACTTGATATCGTTCAGGCACTTCATCCACAAACTGATATCCTCACCCAGACGACCATAAAGAAGGTCAGACTGTAGATCCCAAAGAGACTGATACTGCAACCACTCTCCAAAATAATTATGAACCTGGCACACACATGAGAAGCAAACAATTACCACACAATTTTTCAAACTGATCACAGTCAGAAAGAAAAAAATAAGAAAAGAAGGAAAATGTTATAATTTTATGTACAAATTAGGAATTACTTTTGAATACAAAACTATGAATCAAAGGAGATATCTGTACCTACCTCTTTCATCTTATTCTCAATAGCCTCATAAGCTGATTCCAGCACTGCAAATCCTCCTGGCAATTTTGTTAGAAGATTTCGATAAGTCTGGCTTGTAGGACGATCTAGACCAACCTAAAAATACATTGTAAGATTTTATTTTAATTATTCCTACACAATATAAACCAAAATTGAGAAAAATGCGAAGTCCGAAAGAAACCCTCAGATAAGCAATACATTATCAATAAATAAAGTAACTGCACTAAAGTATAAATAATGGCTCACCACGTAAAATAAGGCAGAACTGAATTTGATTAGTTTGAAATACCTGAAGTTGTTTGATTAGTTGAAATAATTTTTATTGCTCATTTGCTTTATTGCTTGGAAAGGGAGAGATTCTGCAGCAATTGTTAGAAAAGAAAACAATTACTATTAATTCTAGTCCTTATGAAATGCTCTAATTTAAACTTTCACTTTAAGGAAAATTTTTCATTTAAAGATAAATTGTTTCAAAGATAATAATGTTTCAAAATATCATTGAAAAACAAGAAAAAGTAAGTTAACCGAGCATATTGAAATCAGTTTAACAAAAGTTCAATGGATTTTTATTTTCTCCATCTACAAATACAAAAGTTTGACGATACACATTTTACTGACCTGGTAACGTGAGCTCTGTAACCGAATCTGTGAAGTAACAATGGCCTGCCATGCAAATAACTTCTGCATGATCTCAAATCGAGCTTCCTCTTCGCTGGGGTACAAGTACATTGTCTGGTTAGTAATGCGTACTTCATGCAGCATTTGCTGGATCTAAACAAAAAAACAAATAGAATTAAAAACATACCATAAGTTTTTCTCTTTCTTTTAATTTCTTCAAGTTCTCAAATACTATACAAAACCGCAAATCATTTCTTTAATCACACTATGATAAGTTCTAAAGCAAATCACATTTATTGAAATACAATTTCTAATTCACAAAAATCAAGTAACTTTTCTCACCGCTAATATTAAGAAAACAGAAAAAAAAATACCAACCATAGAGCACAAATTACTAGTTTGTAAATTAAACATGAATAAAAATAAAAAAGGTGAACCAATGAAAGAAAAAAGTAAGACCTTGAAAGAAAAACGATACACAAAAGAAGACAAAAGTGCCACACTTTTTAACTTACTATTAGCATACTATTAACATACCTTATTAACATACTACTATACTACTATTAGCATACTATTAACATACTTTATTAACATACTATTAGAAGATCACTTAAAATACTATTTTAACTCAAATTTTTCAAGTTTACCATCCAGTTATAAAAGTTTTGCACTATTTCCAAGAACAAGCTAAAGAACTTCTGATCCTGTCGCAAAGATAACAATGCCATCAGCGCTTTGGATTACTTCCACCTACTTGAGGTTCTCCACCTGGCTTGTGGGTGGGCTGGGCCGGGGCATCAGTGTCCATGCTCAGATCGATCTCCTTCTTGGTGCCGTTCAGTGCGTTGGTCCACGCCTGGATTCCAGCTTGCAGCCGAGCAGCAAGATTCTTTTCCACCTGCACAACACAAAGGCACAGGCATTCACAGCGCAATCAGGCCCAGTATTGTTAATCATTTTCTATCAAACCGTTCCTTATCCACTGCCCCTCAGAAATTAGACTACTCATTCAGTAAGATGGAAGGGACCTTAGCAACAGAAGAAATAGAAATTGTAGCATAGCCAGGGAAGTCTGTTTTTTTATATCGTGTTCCTACATAAAAAGACTGGTATATATGACAAAGATCAAAATTACAATATAAGACAGTGGTATTTACTAGTATGACTACCAGCCAACTGATCACAATCATATCATGAATCACCACTAACTTCCCTGATAACAAATGACTACATTCCCAATAATTTCCCAATTGACATTCTACTTTCAAGAACATGTCATTACAATAAAAGAATAATACACACAATACAAAAATTATATAAAATGTAATGAAAACAAACAACCTACAAAATTGTAGTTTCCTTTCACAGAATTTCTTCCAGTACTTCGAGGCATAAACATTTCATATAAGGTCATATTTTGTTTAATTTAAACTAATTTGTTTTTCTTTTATCTTAATATTATTGTTAATATTTCCTGATATGAATGTATATACCCTCTTGTAATAACTATATTTCTGCCTCTTGTGCCTACATTAAGATTTATTCAAAAGAAAAAACCTGTATTTTCCTTGATTTTGTTTAAATAACAAGTTATGTAAATTCTTTGCTCAAGCCATGCCAATTCTAGAGTATTTTTTGTGCAGTGCTATTTTTTACCAAGTTAAGTTTTCTTTTCTTTATTTAGGGTAATACTTTTGTATTATATTGTATTGTATTTACTCTTATGTGAATAAATGGTTAGGACACATTGAGATAATAAAGAGAGAAAGACTTCCAAAACTTGCATTAAATTACATGATAGAGAAATCAGAAGACGAAAGAAAAAAATGGAGGGAACAAGCCATCAGGTCTGCAGGGCAGGGGATAAGGCCTAACACCCTGCAGTTCATGATGATGATGATGATATTTCCCTCATAATAAAATCCTCTTGATGAAAACCAGCAATGGAGTCTTATCGAGTAGAGCATTTATGTATTCTTGTAATAAATAGTTAAATGCAGTAATTGTTAACGATTAAAGTATGATACAGTAATAGATCTTTAAAAGAAAGCAAAGTTTTGTCAACTTTAAAAGATTTAAAAAATTCCCTCAAGGGTTTTGCCAAAAGATGAACTTAGAGACAGTGTGAAGCTAAGATTAAAAATTAACAAGGCTATGCAAAGACTACTCACTTCTTCATCAAGTCGTGTCACCCAAATGTGTAAATTGGAGTACTGCCTCAGAGAAAGATCATCCACAGCATGCTGGATTTTGCTGAGGATGTCTGCAAATGTATGAGCAGAGTAGGGACAAGTCTCAATGGACCTGACATCAACATCCAACTGTTCTTCCACCACCAGCAGATCTTCTACCTTCTCTTGGAAGCCAAATACCACTTCAGCCAGTCGTTGCACATAGGGATCAAGCTTATAGCTTTCCCACACAAGAGCAATGCCCTGGAACAAACAATAGCAATTTAGGTAACTAGTGAAGAATGCATACTAAAGAACTGTTGGCAAGGTGTTGATAGAAGCTGAATTTCAAAAAGGGTGGGGTAGGGTAGGGTAGGGTAGGGTAGGGTGGGGTAGGTGGGTGTAGGGTGGGGTGGGGTGGGGTAAGGGTAGGAAGTGATGGGGATGGGTGGACGGAGTGGGTGGAGGGGACGGGGTGGGTGGGATGGGGACTAGGACGGGGGTGGGTGGGATGGATGGAAACGGGGATGAGGTGGGTGGGTGAGGACGAGGGTGAGGTGGTGGAGTGGGATGGGTGAGAAATGGAGGATGGGTGGGTGAGATGGGGTGGGTGGGCTTGAAGATGGGGTGGGATGGTAGAGAATGGAGTGTAGGTGGAGTGGGATGGGGATGGGTAGGGTGGGATGGAGTGGGTGGGATGAGAATGGGGTGGAGGGTGGGGTGAGGGGTGGGTGGTGTGGTGTGTGGGTGGAGTCCGGGAGTGAAAGGGTGGGATGAGGATGGGGTAGGGAATGGGTGGGTTGAGTGGGATTGGGGTGGGGAATAGGGATGGGTGAGGGATGGGTGGGGGAAAAGATGGGTGAGGTATGGGTGCGTGGGGATGGGAGATAGTGGGGAGAGGGTGGGTGGGATGGGGGGGTGAGGGAAATGGGGTGAGGGTGGAATGGGAGAGTGCGGGTGAGGATGGGGGTGGGGTGAGGTGGGGTGGGTGGGATGGGGTGGAGAAGTGGGATGGGAATGGGGTGGAGGGTAGGGATGGAAGGGAAATGGGAGGTGGGTGGGATGGACGGTGAGGTGGGTAGAAATGGGAGTGGGTTGGATGAGAGGGGTAGGTTGGGTGGGTGGGGTGAGATGGGGTGGAGTATGGGTTAGGGGGGTATGGGAAAATGGGTGGCGATGGGTGGGAATGAGGTGGGTAGGTGATGGGAGTGGGATAGGAGTAGAGAGATAGGAGTGGGTGGGATGGGAAATAGGGTTATGGGTGGGTGGGTGGAGTGGGGGTGGGTGGGTGAAGTGGGGTTGGGTGGAGGTGGGGTGGGGTGGGAGTGGGTGGGGTGGGATCATTTCTGTCATCTTCTGCAGTTCAACATTCAGTGGGAAAACACATGGAAGCATATTCAAATTTCAGCAAAATCAAGGCAATTGATGTGTGTCTTTGGCAAATGAATTTAAAAAAAATAATCCTTGTACCATATCTCCTTTTTTCCATCAAGTAGAATACCTGTATCTTTTTGGACCCCAAACTTTATTGTCAGCTGAAGTGACACAAGTGTACGTGATAGACATGTATGTACTTGATAGTAAAAGTAAATGATTATATTTGGAATGTAAACAAATGATTTGATTTTATACTTTTATGGTATGGTTTTATAAGTATATAACCTTTTACAAGTTCATTTGAGTAAAATAAATATAATTAATAAATATAAAATGTTTTATATATTGAGAATAACCTATTCATCATGGCTTCTATTTTCAAGAAGCAATGGTTCAGAGATATTACGAGTTTATGACAGTTATTTCGAGACGAAATATCAAACACTGATGGTGTCAGAAACCTTAATCAGAGTTCATGGCAAGATTTTCATATGACAATGGGGAAATAACACTGAATGAATCCAAGGACATTCCAGACCCATACAACAAAATCTAATAAAATTTGGAAAATACGTGAAAATTATTTGGTTCCTGCTTGATAAGTGCACAAAAGCATACCAAATTAATGATGTCCACAATGGTAGAAGGGTGCCTTTTTGAAGTTTCACTGTACTATCAATTTATTTTATCTAATTTTTACGTTCTTGCATATATACATAATATCCCACAGAGTTATGAAATGCTGCTAAAAATTTGTTGCAATTTTGATGGAAATGCATATCTTGGTTTCCTGAAATTAAAAGTTTCCCCTCTTAAAAAAACATCAATGTGCATACTACATGCATATTTTGGAATGTGCTCACAATGATATGTTGAAGCCATGACACATTTGCAAAATTTTATCATCTCACAAATGGTGCCAATTTGTTTTTGAATTTTTTTTCTTGCAAGTACTTGTATACCAGAGTTCTTTTAAATATGACTGCATTGAAATCTCTGAAGGTTCACAAATTGAAAAAATTCAACTATTTTTCAAACTTCCTATACTTTCAAAAGTGTTACAAGGGGTTACTTTTTTTAATGCTTTATTTTCATCAATGTAAATTCTTTCAAATTTTTGAAGTGTAGCTTTTTCAAAATCTGAGTATTTTTGTATAATTGTGAGTCAAACTTTCATAATTTTCCAAAAATAAGAGAACAAGACTTTCTTAAAAATGGCTTAAAATTTTTCTTCCCACTCTTTTTATGAATAGAGCACAACAATTCTCTTAACTAAGACACAAGAGTTACATTCACTCAAACTTATAGTTTCCAAACATTAACGATGTGTAATTTTTTTATCTCTCACACTTCGTTTGGTGAGGAGAATTTCTCATGAGATGACTTAAGTTTTAGTTGGATAAAAGTTGCACTATTATAAAATTACGTAAGCATCAAATGATATACAAAAGTATGTGCTCTTGTAGCATGATCTCACCTCTGCAATAAGCATCTGTACTTCTTTCCTCAAGCCTGCTACCAATGGAATGACACTAGCCTTGTCTTCGATCTGAAACATGAAGAACAATTTACTATGGTTGATCGGAACTGAAATTCTCACCTATGATCTGCAATGGTTGTGACTAGATAATTTGTTTGCACATCTATCTTTCCATGCTGCTGTTCTACTCTCCCTATAAGATTAAACAAATGAGGAACCTTGTACTAACAGATACATGATTCAACTAAGATACAAAATAATAATTGATTCCAGAAGAAATTAAGCAATTTACAACATTGTGTTGAAAAAAGAAACCCATTGAAGTTATTCTGATGAGAGCAATTCAAAAGAAACAAAGGTGTTCTGCATGAAATTAATTTTTCAAATCTGATCTGTTGTGTAGCCACAAATTACTAAGAACACCAGTGCATTGCAATAACCTTTTTCAATAACAATATAACATAATATTTGAAGAATACAGACCATAATCAGTATTTTCAGAAATCGTTTGGTACCCTCAAAGTTATTTCAATAATGTATGAAATTAATAATTAGTTTCTGATAACTTTAAGAAACAAACATCCAAACTTCCTAAAATATTCATACTAACTTTTCATTTATAAATTTATTACACATTAACAAATTTATTACATAGCATGTATCTGCTAACAAGACAATACTATGTTCACATATTTAATTAACACTACATAAATTAACATGATGAAAAATTTACTTCTCTATAGTCAAAACTAAATGTGGAAATAATCCTCAAACAAACAAAAATTCTCAATAAACATATAAAGACTATTCAATGACAGTGGAAAAAAAGAAAAATCTATATTTTTAGAAAATTTTGAAAAATAGTTAAATCTACTTTACACCAATGCCTTTCATTATGATACTAAAAGTGTTAATGGTCTAAAATTTAATTGTTAATATTACAATGTAATAATTCAACAATACAGAAACACTGGAATATTTTCAATGCTCAAAGCATTCCATCAGTATATACACAAGCATTAAATTACAAAGAGGTATTATTACATACCAAGCAAAACAATGTGCAATTGAAAGGCAGGTTAATAAAACATGTTTACAGAACAGGGACTTTTGCTGTGAAAGTTGGTCAATTATTTTAAAACAAGTTTTTAAGAAGAAATTTATCCAAAATTACCAACTTCACAAAACAAAATTCCCCAAAAAACATCTGCTTTCAGCCAAACAAGGCCATAAATGCCCTGGAAAGCAGACAAGCTTACATTCATTCTCAAGAGATGGTGTACAGCATACAAAGGCAACAGCATGAATACTTGAAGCATTCTACGCATGGCTTGTCTGACAGTTCACTTGAATTAGTGAACACCCATGCACCAATAGCATTAACAGTTACCTGGTAAATAGCTGTACATTATGCAAAGTTTCAAATCTTACTGCCATATAGCAAGAAGGGATGGCCAAGAAATTTAAAAAAATGTTTGTTCATCTAATTTTTTAATTTTTATAACTAATTCTCTTACTTCTTACAGTGGACATTTTGAATTTTTTTTTTTTTTGTTATTAAGTCAAAGAAATCGGCATAAAGCAATACCTTAATGACCAAAAAATCACATAATAAATAAGAGCTTGTTATCTCACATTCATTAGAAAAATGTTCAGCATGTAGATAAAACAAGAAGAAGAAAAAAAAGAAGAAAAAAAAGAAGAAAAAAAGAAGAAAAAAAAGAAGAAAGACAAAAGGTCCACAGTAAAACAACTGTAATGATATTTCAATTACAGAACTACAGTAAGTCCTAAAACTCTAAACAGTTAACACAATCTATATCTACCCTCTATTTCATTTCACATCTATAATAATGCAATAATTAACAAATACAATGAAAATTGTGGCCATCCCTCACAACATAAAATACACAAAAGAAAACAAAACAATAAAACACATACAAAACCTCCACAACCATGCCACATAGCTTCCCATGGCAGACCCATTACATTTACCAAACATCATGTCTTGCAATTCCTTCCAGAATTCCCCTACAAGAAATTTTATAGATCATGAAATACAAAGACCCCAATTTTTAATAGTCCACATTGAAAAGGCCTGAATTTTTATGTGTTTTTGCTCCATATTCTTAAAGTAATAATAACTGACATGTCTGCATTATGTACATACATTTATTTGAACTGCAATTGGGAATGACCCAGTGGCAATTAATTAACAATAATTATAATAATAATAATAATAAAATAAATAATAAAAGAGTACACAATGTTACTGCCAATATATATTAAAGTAGCTACCAATGAAATGAAAATATTCAGGTTCCCTAAACTGACATTCAAGTCATAGGAGAAAATTTAATTTAGTGGTTTGCAGCTGCCGTTTCAACAGGCTTTATGGAAAAATTACTAACATAAGATTTTGAAGAATTTATTAAGTTCAAACAGCTTTCAAATTTAAGTGATGAAAGATACAAAATATAAATCATGTGAGCTATTTCCTAACTATTGATATATTCAGAATCTGTGTTGTATTATTGTGCATGTGAGTACTGACATTTTATTTTCTGCATTCACTTTTCAAAATGTTTTAAAACTGAAATTAGAATTCCTTTTAAAGAAATAATAATTTTAATTCTAGCAAACATAGTTTTATTGCCATTATATCCCAAGAATACACATAAATTATGTTGGCTAAATTATCATTCAGGAGAGTCTCAAAGTAAAGATATAATATCACTTCAAGAAGCTGAACAAAAACAGATCTACAAAATCCAGGCTACAGAAGAATCGCTCATCATCCAGGTCTGACAATTACAACACAGTGCAAGTAAAAGATCTTGTCAAGAAAGTAGTATTCATTATAAACAAACTGCATGTAGTGTCAATTCCTGTTCCAGCATTTTAATTAGAAATTAAATTTTGATGTACAAGATTTCAAAATTGTCAACTTGGTGTATGAACCACTACTGACAATACACATTTCTTCACTGAGTTATCAGTACAGTATTACTAGTTCTAATCATTTTAAGATGTACATTAACATTAAACAAACATTCGGGTGTAAAATAATTTGTAGCAGACTCATTAAAACATGCAAACCCAAAGAAGTAAATCATTATTAACAAATAAGGGGCTTATTATTAACAAATAATAATAAGGCCAATTTGTCATTTAAATGGCCATAGTAGCTTCTTTACACATCAAGCATATAAACAACACAAATGACAATTGTCTACATTTGACAGAATCTGAATAAACACTGCGAGAACAGAAACTACACGCACACACACACACATCGTCAAGAGTCACAGGAACAGAAACAGGAAAACCATTAGAAAGAGCGAGCGTCAACCCCAAAAGAGGCAAGCAGTTCAAACAAATAAGAGGGTTTAGGTCAACGAATAACATGACACGAGCATGACATGACATGGCAGGTGACATCGCGCCATGAGCTCTCTACCTTGAATGATGGACTCGGGGGTGAGCTCCGGTTTGTCAGCTGAAAGAGGGCGGGTTGCACAAACAGCACACGTTACACAGTGGCACAAAAACACGAGAAAAAAATTACAAAAAAAGACAACCCACAAAATCCCCCTCCATGAGTTTTACAAAGGTACATTGACTAATTTTTCACACAACATGCAGGAGTTTCCAGACCAGAGATGAAAGAGTTGTTTTCAAAACTCTCACCCAATTTAGATACTTTGCTCCCATTTCTGGCAAATTAGCAACAATAAAACTAACAAGTTCAACAATAAAACTAACAACTTTCTACCAGTTTGTTCTGGGTGCAATCAGCTGAATCTTATGCTCTGGCAATTCTAACAGTTTTCTTCATTGACAGAAAAATAACACCCCCAAAACCTTCCAAATATACAAGTACATTTTGGATAAACTTCAGTCAGTTTTTAAAACTTCATGAAATGAGCCCTGCTCACTTTGATAACAAAAATTAACAATAATAAATTCATAACTTTGGATTCAAGGAATTCGAACTCTCCACCCTAATTTCCTCCTGAGAAGTCTTGCACCAACTTGCTAATCAAGCTCAAGAGCTTGAGGATACTCCCAACCAATCAAGAATACACTTGATTCCATGATGCCAAAAACTACACCTTTACTTGATGCATATTGAGAAAAAATACATGATCTAAATCTAGAAACAACTATGTTATCTATGACATTTTTATAATAAGGATTCTAATACTGGCTCTGAAGGAAGTGAACTCTACACACTATATTACTGAAAACTAATCTAAGGATCATGAAGAACACTGATGAATTTCTAGTAACTAAATAATTATCCTGTTACCACTGCTGTCATAAAGAAGTAAAAGAAAAGATGGCTAAAGAAATTATATTACCATAAAAAGATCAAATCATTCTTACAATTTAACAGTATAAACATCTTAAACAGTAAAAACACAAATTATTTTTAAACACCAAGAACATTTTGATAGGAAACAAAAAGTACAAAACAACATAATAATGTTGGAAAATACGTAAATATTCTGAAGACCTGATCCAATTGTCACTATTTCGGCCTGTAAATACCATAGTGATAATGATTTTTTAAAATATTCTGAAATAAAAAGTCTCAATAATGGAAGCAATTTTCAGTTCCGTCATTTGAAAGTAATTTGCAAATGGTGATTTATATTTCAAGTCATAACATTAAAATACTAAAAATATTTGTGAATTCATAATATAAGTTTTTCAAGTCCACAAGTATTCTAATATTATCAACTGAGGTGAAATTGGACAGTTTGTTCTTTTCGTACTTTTTCATATTCTAAAAAAAATAGAAAAAGAAAAAAAAATAAAGAAAGATAGAGAGGAAGGAGGAAAAAGGAGAAAAAATAACTCTTCCCGATTTTTCAAATTTCTACATTTACTTTATTGCTACTTTAATTTTGCTCATATACAACAATAAGAAGTTAAATATTGTTTGGCATCAAAAATATATATCATTGTTGAGATAAACTGCTAATTTGCAGCTGAATTTCACTTCATTATTGCACGATTTTTTGAAGTTAACTCCAAATGAAGAACATGACATTTTTGTTTAAAGTATTTTCACAGATTTGAGTAATTTATTGCTTTTAAACTCACTTCAGTACCTGCTTCAAAAAGATAATTGATCATTGTGTGCCTCTGAGATGATTCAGGTCAAATTCAATACATGTGTATTGAAAGTTGCTCGGAGTGCAAGTGAAAAGAAAGTTAATTCTAAGAAACTTGAAGCTGCTAATGGAGTTGTCAAAGTACAGGATATTTCTTATTTTAAGACTGCGGAAATTTATCTATTATGGAGGACTACTAAGCAATGGATTAATGGATGGTTACCTTGTTCTAGTTAGATATTTAAAAATTTGTTCTTTTAGAATTGAACTCCCAGGGGTAAATTGATAAAAAGTATTACAATGTATATTAAACAAGACTTTACATTACAATTACATTAACATAAAAAACACACACACACACACACACACACACACACAAAGACATTACATATAATATATTTTACAATACTATTTTTTCCCCCTAAATTAATTTACATTCTCACAGCCAGTTCCCAATGCTACAGCAAGTAAAGTGCTCCAGTCACTGATTGTTCGATTTACAAAGGAGAATTTCCCAGTAACAGATCGCTGTGTTTGTGTACTTATTTTGAAATTATGATTCCCTCTGCTTATGTTTGTTTCATTAGCCTATTCCAAACATCTTTCCACGGAAGGAAATCTACATATGCCTTATATAAAGCACTAAGCCCAGCCATCATTATGCTGTATGAAAGTGGTTTTAATTCATTTTGAGCAAGTCAGTTTCCAGAGAATTTAGAGACTTTTTTCTGAATTTAGTCTAGTTTGGGAATTTGGCCCAATCTGAAGGAATCCCAGCTCACAGCCCCATATTATAAGACAAGGTATACATATAATAGCATTTTAAAACTATAACTGGCTTTCTTCCAAGTTCGCAATACAAAATGTAGGGCTCTCCATGATTTTCTCATGGTCAATTTTCTTGATCCCCCTTAACTCGTGTCTGCTTCTAAACGCGAAAAAAAAGGATCACTGATGAACAGCAATATCAGAGCAAACCACTGGGGTTGAGGGACCCATTTATTTATCATAATTTTAGGTACATTGTTAAAGGACATACTGATAGGAAGAAAAAGTATTTTCTAACAATTTTCCAGATGTGGATTGAGAAAAAAAAAACCTTTTCTGATGCTATAGTAGTACGGCTGTTAGGCTATTATACTGGCACAGTGACAGGTGTATTTCAAAGAACTTACAGGTGAAGTTTCTTCACCCTTGCGGTAATAGGCATTCTTTTTCATTTTCCCAAGACGTCAAAGAAGAAGACGACAGTTCTTAAAGACTGTCCAAATCCTTTAAACTCTATGTGAAGGAAAGGAGGTGGTTTATATTTTCTGAAGATATGAGTTGAAGTAAAAATATTTGTTTTCATCTTTTGACAAATTATCCCTCTTTAAAAACTTACTGTTCCAATTTCATCCCAGACGAAAATAGTTTGGATATTATTTATGAACTACTGTATAAATAATTAAGGGTGCAAAAATACTAATAGCTACACAATGGTGAAACCTGCAAGTGAACCTGAAATAAGTGGTGTATTAATCATTCACATTACTGCATCAGAATAAAATTGCATTTAAAGACTTAAGTTGTTGTCACAAACCCTTTCCGATCCTTTAATTTTTCCATTTCATGGTTCAAGCCAGCTAAATATTATTTTTTGCAAAACATTCTCACTGGTGATTTAAGGCAAAACAAAAAATGAGGCACCAGTCAAATTCTTCATTTCACTTTCACATTTCACGATCGTTCATTTTTTCAAATATCATTCAGTCACAATTTTCACTAACAGAAGATCAATGTCAAACTTTAAAAAAGAGATTGAATAAAAAATCATAGAAATGTCAGACAAGTGTGTCACAGAATTGCAAAGGATTATTTAAATTAAATTCTAAGTTATGGTGCAGTCTAATGAAGACCTGGTTCAGAGTCATCTTAAGAAACAGAACTACTAAATCCTGAAGACAAACTGTAATAGTGTCAACAATTAACCTGATAAAGACTTCATGAAGAAACTGGCAAAGTTTTCTCTTCATTAATTATGGATTAAAACAAGTTTACGCCTTCATTTTGTAAATACCATTACTTTTTCAAATCGTGCTGATACTTGTAAAATTAATAATTGGAGTTATAATAATATAGACTCTGTACTATCCGCACAACTTTTCTTGAACAATGACTTAGAGAAATGCAGTTAGAGAGGTAGTATTAGTTACTAAATTGGCCATTAGAGTTTCTGAAGCTCTGGAAAATCAAACCAAACCTACTTTTCAATGTAATGCATGACTGTATAATTTCTTGACCTGTAAAGCATACCAAGTTAGTTTGACAGAATTATGTTTTATAACAATGAATACCTATTTTTTATCAACTGGGTCAGCCTAAGTAGCAACAAAGGCAAACTTTTTTAAAAAGACTTAAAATAGTATTAATAAAGCTTTCACTACAGTATATGTGGGAGATAATAAAAATATTTTTTCTACACACACACACAATTACACAGAATATAAGTTGGCCTCTTTGGAAGTTATCTTTTCTTTAACCAGTGGTTTCTGGATAACTGAAGGATTACTGGCTCTTTTAATCATTATTCTCTGGGTGGCCAAATTACTTGCAGAAGCCCAATTAAAAGCACTACTTAGAGGATACATCACAATTACGTTCCTTTTCAACTTGCATGCCTTCGCAACTTTCTCAATAATTTGGCATTTGCCTCACCATACGTTCTCCTAGCTTCCTCAGAAATTTTGGTGTCATCTTATAAAGGACCTGGACCTGCATCAGCCATTTCTTTTGATGTTTTTAGAAAAACCCAAACAGCATGGGACTTCTGTTTCATGCCAATGATAATGCGTTTGGAATGTCATCAGTGTTCCCTGCAATCTCTTATCAATTGTACTAGAGAGGAAGGAAAGTAGGCCATCAATCAAGAAAAGTTGCATGGCAATATTTCTTTATTAAAACTAATAAATAGATTTGCATTGTCAGTCATACAGTGTTTGAATTATAAATTTTCTTAATGACAGCCACTGACTTATGAAAAACCATTGTTTTTTGGTTAAATCATTGTTTGATCTGCAGCAGCAACTCCATTTTGTTTAATGAAAAACTGCAGCCAAGAAAACTAATATATCTAAAAAAAATAGCTTAATCATTAATCCCCCCCCCCCGTTATCCTTTTGCAATTTCAATTGTACCAACTTCAGAAAAAGTCAACAAACCTCACACATGTTATAATCAAGTGTTGTAAGTAAATTCACACAAAAGCGAAAGCAGGTATGTCCAGGACATCTTGAAATAACCAAGAACCGTTTCGATTATCCAAATCAAAAGAGGAGACAGATGCAAAAAACTCAAAAAAAAATTTTATTAATTGGCACTCTTAAAACAATAAAAGACATTGCCTTTGAAATTTTACTGTATCATTATAATCAGTACTTCTCAGAGAGTGTAAGTTGGGCAAAAAATACAAAATATCTTTCTGAGAGACACTTTGCACTAACATAAAGAACATTACAGTTTTTTTTGGGTAGGATAGTTCATTCAATGTTTTTGTAATGCAAGCTGTGTAAGAATTTTTTTTGTGAATGTTTCTGTTATGTTTAGTGCAAAGGTTCTCTCAGAAAGATATTTTGTATTTTTTGCACCAACTTACACTCTCTGAGAAAGTATGATTTATATTGAGTACTAATATATCTTCTATATTCTATTATATCTTATATATATATATATTATATATTTATATAATATATATATATATTTTATATTTATATCTATATATTTATTATTCATATATATATAATGATCTATATATCTATACTATATATATCTATATATCTAATATTATATATCATATTATATATGTATATATTTTAATATATATATTATATATATATATATTAACCAAATTAACTTTTTCAACGTTTTTGCATACGAGGACTGCACATTGGATCCACATCAAAAACAAATGCAAATGAAACTTGATAGAAAATTTTCTTACCTTTTCCAGAGTCCTCTCATATGTGCGTACGCTTTCAATTAATGAGATGGCAAACGGATACAACTGATTGGCTTGGTGGGCCTTGTTGACAATAGCCAAAGGCACTCTGAATCCTAGGCTCTTCAGATTTCGAACCTGAAACAAACAATTTTAATTATATTTCAACATTCATGAAAGTACTTTTGCACAAATTTCATACCAGAACATTTAATTTATCTCAACATAAGAAATTTGAGATGTGCATAGTGACCAAATCTCAGCCTCATTTGCTGCCTAGACTATCTTAGACTGATCACTTCACATGTCACTGAAACTAGAAACAATTTTCTAAGTTCAATACACATCTTGTTAATTCACTAGATACTAATGTTGGCAAATCAAAGAATTATAGAACTGTCTTCATAAAAAATGTCCTCAAGTGAAGCAAATTGCTTTCTTTTAGTAGGCTCTCTCGCTAGGATTTAAAGGTCTTGACCTATAACTGGCACTTTCTAAGATTCATTTTGTGAACATGCCATACATTAGTTGTTTTTGAGTGTTACAGATATCACAACACATTCCCTAATGAATAGCTGCAAGTACACAATATCGTAATGTATACATGAAGGACAATAACTCCATTATCTAAATTCACTCTTGAACCACAGCGCTTAAGAAGTTTAACAAACTATTAACATGAGATATTAATATATAAACAATAAGCGAGAATAAACTTTAATACTTCTGAGATTTGCATCTAGCTTAAGTGATGATTTTGCTACAAGGATGAAAAACAGCAAATTATTGTTAATATTATTACCAAGGCTTACCTCTTTGGCTAAAGTAATGATTTCTGGGTGAAAGTTAACTCTGAGCTTCAGAACATTTCCTCGGCCAACTCGCGATCGGTGACTCTCAATAGCAAAGATACGACCAGTGACTCCCAAGTTTCTTTGCTGCACTTTTCGGGCCCATTCGTCAAAAATTTCTTGTGTGTTGAGCTTCAATCTGAAGCTATCACCATCTGCCTTTAATTTTTGACCTTCAATGTGATTCTCCCATCCTTTTCCTAGAAACAAAATAATTATTAGAGTTGGCTTATCTAATAACTTTTTCATTTACTAAAACCTCTTCTTAAAATTTCAAGATACAGTACAATTCATTTCTTACAACATAAAACTCCTGAACAGGTCAAGAGGAGTTTTATCAGGTTTTTATCTTCCATCTTAATAATTTGCCAACCCTTTTCTAGACATTTTGGTCTAACTTAACAAGACCTTGTTATTGAGGAGAAATAAAATGGTGGGTGATTGATGGATAAAGAGCTAACCTAACTGTTCAGTACAAATGGGTTGCAGCTTCAAAAGCTCAGAGAAAATGAAATCTACAATTATTTTTTCGGCTTTTCTGTAAATGGAAGGGCAACACTCTTTAAAACCAATAACTGGGTTTTAATAACTTAATAATTGATGAGTAGAATGTTTTACCCAAAACATCTTCAACTCGTCGCAGATATGCTGTCAGTTGTCGATCAATCTGTTTGGCCCAGACAATAGAGCCAGACACTGGAGGTAGATCTCTTACAGTGCTCATCCGGCACGATTTGCTTTGTGGATACTGAACCTAAAAAAATTAAACAAGATGAAATTAAATACAATGTTTGAAAAACAGGATACTACTTTCAATTATTCATCTTAGAGAGATAATGATAACGGCGCAAAATTAATTTTTTTTAAAAATTACAAACATGCATACAAAAAAAACAAAACAAAAAAAAACGTGTACTAAATAAGTTTATGACATTCAAACATAACTTATAATACTATTAATTCATTTACAGAAATTGCATGATAAAAGTTTAAAAATTATATTCTATAGTAAGTAGAAGAGAAAAAAACGTGTTCTTTTACCAAGATCTTATACTATATCTTGCAGAGCACTTATTATTTCAGGTTGGATAATTTTGATATCTATCCTTTCTTACAGTAATTTCCAACATATTAACTATTACAACCTCTCACCTTAAACTTCTCATGCAGAGCCTCAATATCATCTTTCACTCGCTGGATGAGCTGAGTCTGATACTCTCTGATGGCACCACGGATGTGAGGTCGCACAAACAAGGCATTGAAGCGAGAGAAGATGCGGAACATCTCATTGGCATTCTTTGCAGTTCCTAATTGATCACGCAGATGGGCCGTAATGCGTGTCTCTACACGGTCAATTCGCTCTTCATATCTTCGCACAGCAGCATCCCATGCGTCAAGGCCTTCCCGAGAGATGTCCAAACAATCTACTTCCTTCACATTCTCATAGGCAAGGTTTACTTCCTGAGGAGTGCAAGTAAATATATTACGTTCTTCTTTGAGCACACATTTATTTTCTATGGGGAACTATTAATTTATTGCTTTGCTATCTTTTAAAATTTAATTTCTTTAATATTTAAAATATTAATTAAATACTTAATTTAATAATTTCTTTAAATTTTCATTAGCAACAATACAACAAGTATGCAACATTAAAACAACTGTTAATGAACATTTTTCCAATGCTTATTATATATTATTCATTTAAAAAACTTGGAATTTCTACACAAACAATTGCAAAACAAAATAGAATTTTGCATGCTGCCTTAATTATTTTGTTATTATGTAAACATAATAACTTAACCCTTGAGGGGCATCAAGCACTTTGCACTTTCAGTAAACCTTCATTAATTTGTACACTAAAGACTAATCCTCCATTAACAAACTCTGTCATTACATTATGTCGCATTCATCGCAATTCTTGTGTTTAAAGTTTGTTTTGGGAATAAACGTGTTTGCTTTAGAAATAAATCAATAAGCATCAGCCAAATTTCAGATTTTAAATGGTCACAGTTGGAAGTCTGGATAATGAAAAGTGCACTGTAAAACCCACCTCAATAGCATTAGCATCCGCGGCATCCATTGCTGCTGGGTCAGGCTTGATGTCTGCTGCATCAGGGATCTCTGTCTGTGTGTTTGGGGCAGCTGGCGTGGTTCCTGCAGGCCCTGTACCCTCTGCTAGTGTCGCAGAGAGTGCTGGACGCAGCACTCTAACAATGACTGTTCGCAGCTGTTCGTGTTGCCGGCGGAACCGACGCATGTGTTCCATTCGTACTTGCAGCTTTTTGTGTGCAGGTGAAATGCGCCACACCATTTTCAGGTGTTCGTCTCGCTTCTTCTTCACTATGTCTCTGAAAACAGAAGTTATTTTTTATTATTAGTTATTACTGATTGTTTCTTTATTTAAAATACAACATGTCAGCAGATAATGATGACCATTACTTAACTCATTTTGCACACACAAATATTATCAGTATAACTGTTAATAACTAATTCAATAATAAACAAAACAACAATATAACAGAACTCTAATAACTTGAAACAATAATAATGCTTAACAAAACCCAGACAAATAAAACCATAGCAGAATATTACTGGAAAATATTTCCTCCGTAAATTAGAATTACAGCATTGAATACTTAATTATGAATTACAGAATTTTACAATAAAATTACCTAGTCCCAAAACTTACAAATTAATAAATGTAAATTCAAACTTATGTAATTATTAATTAAAATATTATTAAGGAAGATGAAATCATTGTTATGAGTTCCATCTATGAAGACAGCAATGCCAAATTAATAGAATTATCAAACAATATTGACAGTGAATTACTTGAGACACTAAAATTAACCTTTTAAAGAAAGAATTCCAAAGGATTAGTGAGTTAATCCATTGCTTCATAATGACACTTTAATGTATCAATTAACTAAACATTAACATTCGTAACTCTGGCATTTCATCAAATAAAACATTCCAAATAAAGTGGAATGACAATTTTTGTTACTTTCTCAAAGCATTGTATTAGTAATCAACCAAAATACTTTTTAAAAGGAATTCAAATTTTGGAGAATAAATATATTAATTTTACTTTAAGAATCCAAAATCCAATCTATGCATGCATCCATGAGTACAAGAATTCATATATCCATTTATACATACATTCATAAGTAAAGGGCAGTTTTCAATTGAACTAATGCGAAAATTTTCAATTCTAGCTCACCTCAGTAAACCTTGCAGTTTGTCATATTCATCATCCCAAGTAGTAAATACATCAAAGCACTGGGACATGACTTTTTCAAACTCATCAAAAGGGATGTGCATTAACCTCCTTGTTCCTAAAACCTGAAATGAATAAAATAATTTTGGATATAGGTACACACCTATTGAAGTTTAACCATATATTTTTTAAGTGCATAAATGTCCTGTATTCAGCCAGAGAATAGGGTAAATGAAAATCGCAACACACGAAAGGATTTTAAACAACCTCTTCTCGTCCAAATTGCAGTACACAAATAATGACATATTTGCAAGGAATTTCTCAAAAAGGAAGATATCCACACGTAGAAAATATGTTGTTTTATCATAAAATATATGTGACTTTAATGTGAAGTCATTATCAAATGAGGAAGGCAGACAAAAGTTCAGTTGATTTTAAAGCAATAGGAGACTTACAACCGTTCATTCTTTATAGTCAGAGAATGTGCATTAGTATCAGGCCTCCGATAGCGGGACACACGAGTTTCTTCAACATCACTTCATTATTCTCCATGTGGAAGCAAAACAAAGCCATCACCTCTTTTCTTACCTTCAGAAGTTGAGTTCCCAAATCTCGCGAAATAGCTTCTACTAAACGCAAAGCTCTCTGAATTGGGTACTTGGTATTTCTAATTTTGCGCAAGTGGGAAAATATCAACTGAACAGCTGATCTTATCCGATCAAGCTCTGTTGCCGACAGCAAATCATTAATTGGGAAATCTTTCATCAATGGATTGTAATCGTTGACTGTAGCCAGAGCTTGCTTCAAACCTAAAAACAATAGAAGTTTCTAGAAGTTATTTTTATTTAAAAATGCAAACTATGTAGAAAAAGATCTACAGTTATACCTCAACATGAAATTTTCCAATAGTCAGGATAATGGACACCTTATGCACTTGTTCAAAGATAGGGCAGAAGGAAACTACCGAGACCCACTGAAGTCTACATTAAAAATTGTTTTGAAGAATTTCCACTCAATAGTTTTTAAAGAATTTAGAATTTCCATTTCAATTAAAGAAGGAAACATTCAACATTTCACAAAGATTGTCTTTAGTAAGCACAACCGATAGGCAGATTTACTTTGTTGTATAAAACTGAACCAACAAGTACAATATACAACAACATAGAATTTAGCAAAATTTAATATTCACATTTTTGACAGTTCTATGAACCCAGTACTTTTTTGCCTTTATGTCACCTGATAACATGGAACAGTTCCCACAGTGATTAGTATGCTGGAATTTTTTTGGAAGCATTTTGAAGCTTTAACAATCTGATTCTAAACAGGAAAATTGTATTTGCAATATAATTCCTAACCAGGTTTCCCAACATAAATAAAAAAAAAAAGTAATAACATTCACTTGCAATAAATTTGGCAAGAATTCTCCAAATACTCACCAGTATCTGTGTCAAAACTGACAGTGGCATGAAAGCGCTTGCCATGTTTCAAAATGTCTAAAGTCAGTGCTACTTCAAGGCTCTCTCTCTTCTCTTGAATTCGGTGCAGTGCTCGTTCCAAATTCAGCCAAAAACTGATCTCCTGTAGAGCTGTTCCAGACGAAGGATCACGATCTAACTTCGTCACCTGCAGCAAACACAACTATTGATTTTTCTGCTTCACTACAACTGACTGCTCGTTCTAGAGTTCATTCATTGACTGCTCTTTCTAGAGTCTGTACACTACCCTCTCTCTTTCATTTGAGAATATAAAGCAACTTTTCAGCATCTAGTAGTTTGAGTTACTTGAACAGTAGATGGTTATTAGAATCTCAGGCTTTGCTGTTCAAAGAAATACAGTTAGGAAGTTCAGTCTAGATGTTAAGAACTTTATGCAGAGCAAGTTTTGTGTTCAGAAATCTTCACACCAAGTTCCATTATAATAATCCAATGAACATCTCGTGAAACCAATTTAAAAAATTCAAATATATTTATTACTGACCAGACAGAGCAACTATTAAAGGCATAATTACATTTTTACATATTAGATTTTTAGGTTAACTGCTACCTTCAATAACACGTGGCATTTCAGCAACATACCTTCTGTATTTCTTTGATCCAGCGATTCACACCATTTTGAAGTTGGTTCAGAAACGTCGAGTCTTCCACCCTGTCTCCAAAATCTGCAACTTTTGGCTTTCTGCCTTCGTCTAGGCATCTCTTTATAACAGCAGCCACTGTTGGATGCACTGGTAACGATATTTCAGGAATGTCAATGTTTTGTTGAAGATGAAGTAAACCCATCTCCAACTCTGCCATTTTCTTTTCCACTGATGGTGCCATTTTATCACCATCTCTGAAAAGTCAGTGAAAGCACCATAGAAAAGTGGCATTTAAGAAGCAACAATTTACCTGTCATTAGGCTACAGAAACACAGAATACTCCTATCAAATTACATGCATCTTGTTTTCTTCCTTTTTAATCGACATAAAAGTAGCAAATCAACCGAGCTGTGATATGAACCTTATTCCGGATTTTTATTTATATTTCAGCTATAAACATATCTAGTGTTATGAATAGGAAGAGGAATTTTATGCTCTAAAAATCTTGAAATATGTTTTTTAAATAGGCATTTATGAACTAAAAATTCTCAAATTTGCACTTTAACATGCAATTAAAAAATTAACAAAACTTCATTTCCTGCATTAACCTTCCATGATAAAATTCAGGAGAAGCATTGGAATGAAGAGGTATTTTTTTGTGCAAACAGAATATAATCTTCCTTACTTAGAAATAGAAATAATTGAAGTAAATATTCACTCTAGTGAAGTACATTGTATGTTTCATTGCATTTCTTGTCTGGTTTAAAAAAAATAACATCAAGCAATTTCCTAAATTTGCATAAGTTTTGTATAATCTATAAAAAGGAAAAAATGCTAACTGTGACAAGCTCTTTGTAATTGATGATCCGTCAAATAAATAGATTTTATTAAATGTTGAAATGTTTTAGACGTCTCCATTTTAACTACATGTGCAAAATATGCCCCTATAATTACAATTACATGCATCAACAGGAAAAAATCAGCCAAATGTGTACCAACATATTAATCTACATAGTATTCATTTCTAACCAAATGCAAAGAAATTTAACTTAGCTATGCCCAGAAGCAACAGACAAAAACATGAAAAATCGAAGAATCTACTCCCTAGTAATGAGTGTTATTACTGCAGAGGCCAAATGTTAAAAATAGAGGGAGAGGCAAGTTTTTAATTTAAATAAGGCAGTAATTACACCAACATTCTGTGATATGTTCAGCATTTAAAAGTCATCATAAAATCTCATGATTTATGCAAAAATATACATTAAATAAATGAATTGTGTTGATGTGGCATTTTTGTACCAGATTGTGGGGAGAGGCTTGCGATATACCAATTTCAATAATATTCAGACACCATGGTTCAAGAAAGATAGTTCCAAATAATTCTTTTAGAAATTATGTTCGATGAGGAAGTTGGCGCATTGACTTCTAGTGGCGACACCTTCATACCATACACAAAATGATTACCATAGAAGAGTTTGATTTAGTGGAATGACAGGAAAAAGATGTTAATTTACCTAATATTAATTTTTCATTATTCACTATTAATAATGTTACAATTAACATAATTATCCCAAAAATAATACAAATTACTTTTAATCTGAATTGTTTGAATTAAATTTGTTTTGCACATCGCCAGGTGTCACTTGCAATGAATTGATGGTTACCTATTTACATTGCTAAGGATGTTAAATTTCTTAACATACATATAGGCACAAGAGCACTTAACAAACCTGTAGGGTTGCATGGTAAAAAGGGTTAAAGCTGTACGTGACTGATCAACACTATTTTTAGACAAAAATTTGAGAAATAAATAAAACTGTTCCTTCTACATGAAGATTATTTGAAAAGACACTTCCAAAAATGCATTTCAACTGATACAATTCTGATTTCTAAAGTCTTTTACTATTTTGAATAATTAAATGAACAGGTATTAAACTACAAGCTATGAGTTCTACTATTCACATTATTTTGTAAACTAAAATATTATTTGTCTTGAAGGTACAGAATCATCATTTCAGCCATTTTAATTTTGAACATTTTGCATACAGAAACACAAAAGCCAATGGTCAAGTCATGCAGTTCAATTTTGTAGTGGAAACCTTTAAGTTCTGTGGACCAAACAATGAAAATTGGAAGAAGTGAGGGAATTTTAAATAAAAAGGAAAAGAAAAGACTTATTGATTTAACTTGAAAAGAACAAAATAAAAAATAATCTAATTAGGTCCTCTCAATAATTATATTACCACAAATATTAGTGAATAAATTATTTTAAGGGTGTGTGTTCATAGAATGATGACATTCCACGTTTAAAATTACTAAAATTAGTTAAAGAAATTGTGTTTCTTTATCAAAAGTGGAAACACAAAAAATGAATTTTGTGGCAAAAGTTAACCTGATGTGAGTTTGAGTTTTGTTTTGAGGGACATTCCTTAAAATTATTTATATGTTCTTTTACTCTGTTGCTGTTTTTTAAGTGGCTAATTTTCTTTTAGTCTGATATAGGTAACATATCACAATTTATACATTTTATTTTAATAAACAATACTTTCATTTTCTTGTTTGAGAATTTTGTCTTTACTATCCACAATCACTTTAGATTTATTTATTATTTGATTATATTATTTATTATAAGGTGATACATTTAAAAAAATTATCTTGTGATAATAGTTATCTCAACTAATTGACAGGCAACGCCATCATCTTTAGACTGTGTAATTTTTAATAAATTCAACATAGCATTTTATTTCGTGCTCTGCCACTCTCCATTCCATGTCATAATAGAACCCCCCCCCCTCCCCATCTTTTTTTAACACTACTTTCTCTGTGACCTATTAAATTTTCAATTTCATACAACACTAGAAAATTAAGTTTAGGCATGTCATACACAAAGAGATGGGGTCATTAGCACATTATTTTTCTTTCAGATGCACCAATAAAAGTTCATGTTGTTAGTAATACAATAAAAGCAACATTCCCTAGCACTAGCATATGCTGGAGTTCAAAACAAGTACATTAAAACTTATACAAATAAACTTTTATTTATGTGATGTGTATTATATCTTACCTGTCTGCTCTTCCAGATTCTTTCACATAGGATTTGAAATATGGCACCATCGTTTTACTGATGAAAGCATGGAGTGTTTCATAGGCAGATCCCTCACTGAATGTGATGAAGCGCACTTGAGAATGCAGGGATTTATCAGCTTCTACTACTGGCCCTCGTTTGACGCATACAACACTACAATGGTAACACAAAACATTAAAAGAAAAAATATTTCTAAACTTCTCTTAAATTACATAACCATTCTAACTGTACTAATCCTCACAAAATTGATAAACTCTTGTTATATTAAACTTCTATCAAAAAATAGATCACACAAGACTGTACAATCAGTTTTGAAAACTGAGTTAAATTCAATATAATTTTTCTTTTTTGCAGAAATCTTTAAGGGCATAACATAGCTTTGAACACTTAAACCTTTCTAAAGTTTTTGACTTCATTTACCATATTTTTTTTTACAAAATTACCCTCAGATGGTATTTGTGGTATTGTCCTAGACTGGATATAATCTTACTTTAAACACCAGTTGCAAAGAGTACAAATATCATACTGGCACGAAAGAACGTTATTTACTCATCTTCCCAAATTCTTGCCAACTGAGCAAGGGGTCCTGCAGGGTTTGATTTGAGGGTCAATACTGTTATTTAATTGGCTGGCCGGGTGTCGCTGCATCCACGGCAGAGGCACCTTTGCCATGGACGCGGCATCACCCAGACACCTATTTTAATACTGACTCCAACAGCATATGCTCTCGCCTATTCTGTTTGTTATTTATGTGAACAATATGCCCTTATCCATTAGAAATGAAGAACACTTCTCTTTGCCTCCAACACAAATATTTGTTTGCAAAAAAGAAACATTAAGTAGATTCATATGTTTAAAATTTGTTTCATAATAAATTATGAGTAAACAAAGAGAAAATAGTTTAATGCAGTTTTGCATTTGAAACTGGCAATGACATGTGCCATAGAAAATGAACAGATGCAATTACCTAATGCTTCGGTAACAAAATTTCTGAATCTTTCAATTAAATTCAAAAGTAAGAATAATAAGCAAAACCCATCCATGTAATTCCTGCAAGCCCCTCTTCATTGAGCTTGGAATCTTACCATTGACTTGCCCATTTACTTAAGTATCTACAGTTTTTGTCAAAACTGACCTAAGGATTAATTCTAAAAGACACCTGTGTCACACGAGTGTTATGTTGATGCACAATGAGTAATGTGTGTCATAGATTAAATCTCTATTTTATGTGGAACGGCCAAAGAGTTCATGAGCCGTTTTACATAAGATAGTGTTATTCTAGGACACACATTACTTAGCACATGTCAATGCAATGCTAATGTGCAGAGGCCCTAATATGCCTGTACCAAGTATTGTACTTCAGCTCCTATGTCAACAACCCTCCTGTCAATCAGATTATTCATCAGCTTTCCCTTGATCCAGTTAACAAATACTGAAGTCCTTTGTTTTGCTCCTGGACTTACACTTAGCTTTACAAGGCACAAGTTTCATTAAGCTCTCCTTTTGCTAACAGTAGAGTAGAATTCAAGTGTGGGTGGCTATTTTATTACTAATACTCCAAAATTAAATCTGTAGATCATTTACAAATGCAAAGAAATACTTGCAGCTGAAACTCTATTGGGTAGGGGTTTTATAGTTGTGAGCAAACATTTTAAGTCATTAAATGTTGCATCCTTGCTTTGATGGCACTTTCTTATTCATCATTAAACTACAAACAGTAGAAGGGTAGGGAAGGGATTCTGAAGCTCAAGAAAACCTGTGCAGAGAATACTTCTCCCAGTATATAAGTTTTTTTGGTTTTTTTGATGAAAATTAAACAAATCAAACCTTAAAATTTTTTATAACACAATACAAGTACTTTGTAAAATTTCTTTGGACACACTATCATAAGTGTCATGATGTTGAAACAATTGAAATTATCTCCATGTTAAATATATTATATTTGTTTGATTCCCCCTCCATATTTATTCATGATTCTCTTATCACAAAATTACTGACCTCATCATCTTGGGACTTGTAAAGTGAACTTCGTTTGAGACATAATAAGTGATGACATCCTTTTCTTCTTCACCTTCACCTGCTTGGTCTGCATCTTCATCTGAACATTATAAAATGTAACTGTCAATTCATAGAGTCATACCTTGGTTTTTTTATTTGCTAGTCAATTGGGTCACCAATCAATATGTATGGTCCCGAATTGATTGGAGGGAATAAAATTCGTATTACAATAGTTACATCAAATTTCAGGTAAATAAGAATAGAATACGAAAAATGGGAAATGTTGGCACAAGTTCAAGAGATAATTAAGAGGAAAAAACGGTTTACTTAAATAGCAGCATTTGTCATACCTTTCGTGGAAACCCTTTGGATGAACAGACAAGATACTTGTGGATCGCTGAGATACTTCTGAATGCAGTCTTGGTTATTCTTATCATTCAAGGCAGAATTTAGTGCCGGCGATACTGCATCCTCACATTCCGGGAGAAGCGTTAAAACCACTTTCTTAAGAAATTGTGTGAATATCTGTAAGTCTACTACTACAATATTTTCCGAGACAGGAGCTCCTTCGCCCCCGCCTTCTAGCGAATCGCCCATTTCTACCACTTGTCTACAAGACAAAGGTAAAGGAAGGTCGACACATATCTAATGATGACTCACACCGCCACCCACACCACTCCTGAAAACCGGATTCACGATCGACGCAATATACCGGCCGTGAACCTCGCTCAGCTGCCGTACAGCAGTCCACGAGTTCGTTCGCCTGCCTTCTGTGAAGTCAACCACTGCGACAACGGCAATCCCCACCCCACCACCACGTAGACACTACGGCGCTCAAAACAAGAACGAGAAAAATCAATGAAAGGCACATAAATATGTACAACGTTACTCTTTAAAGAATAGCCATTGTGTGATTGGAATATTACAAATCCTATATGTGTTTCATGTAACAATGTATTTTTTCTTTCAATTGTTGCTTAAAAATACACTTGAAAACTTATCGTCATGTAGATATTTTAGTACATCCGCCGCGCCTTTTTCGGATTAAGTGATTCACGAATTAATTACTGTTGCTTAATCTATAAATGGCATGTTACCAAGTACACATTAAAATTATTTAACAATGAATTTATTTCGATAATGAATTCATATTTTGAAAGAGAACTGATGTTGAGTAAGGTATAAAAAAAGGAGATGGAAAAAATTCACAGAATCTCACTTAAACATTGTGCCTACCTCATAATCGGAATATTTTGCATTTTTACCGCGAAGTCTTCGTTATTTCACAAAATGTGACAATCACAATTTTTGGTTACATTCTAAGTTTGGGGAGAAAATTATTTGGGTGAAAAATATACACTTGAAATAGCTATTATAATGAATTATCTATTTATTACAGACTTACAATATTTATTACATACTCACTTATTTCTAGTCCACCTCTTTCAATAAATATGTATACAGAACTTAGCTAAAAATGTTTTAATCCGTTATGAAATTTTATTAATGTCATAAACAGGCGGTAAAAAGGCTCAGTGAAAACAACCTCTTTCAAAAATTTTCATTATGTTTTTTAAGAACAAAGAACTTACAGGGTTATTAATTAAGCAAAAGTATACAATACTGTAGCATTTTTCATAATAAAATTATGTAATGTAGTTTGTTGTTCTTGAAGGATATAGATGATATGAAGGTGTTTTGAAAGATTTCTTCACTTCAGTCACACATTATCGTCAACAATTGACTACCCAGAACATTTTGATAAGGGCTTCAGTTGGTCTATAATCAATAGGTCATTAATTACAATAACTATTTCATGGAAACAAAAGATATATTAACCTCTCAAAAATACAAGGTTATGTTCTAATTGACACCTTTAAGTCTATTTTTATTTCTGCTATAGAAGTACAAATTTTGAATATTATACAAGGCCAATGGTGTGTGTTATGTCATCAGTTATCAAATACACTGCTCATGTGATACTTAAACAATTAACTTACATAGTCAATGGAAGCATTGTAACTGACACGTTTCCCCCTCAATTCAAATCATTATATCGTTCTGGTTTTCTAGTCTCCAGAGTGGAGTAAACCCCACCAACTATACCCCAATTTCCCTAATTTCAGATTTCCAAAAATTGTTTTGAAAGAAATAACTGAATTGATGAATACATAACACTTGATTATTTGATGAATATATAGCAAGGTATGATAATATAAACTTCTAACTTAGTTTCTAAACAGGCAAAAGCATTGACGACATATTAAGACATATATGAGATTTGTCAAACATTAGATGAAAATATATCCTGTACTTCATTTCCCTTTGTTTTCTTTTCTTCTACTTGGAGAAAGCTTTTGACACTCACAATCATACAAGCTTCAAAATATGTCTTTAGAGGGGCCAGTAATGATTGATTGAAAGTTACTTATCTGAAGAAAGACCAGCAGTTAAAATAAATTATGTATCTAGTATTAAGATATTAATAACTTGTGGTGCTGCTCAGGAAATGATATAGTGATCTTTATTTTTCTTATTACCTATTAATTTATGATTTTCTGAAGGATGATATTATAACACATAATAGCTAGCAGTCAAGGCTAAGTCATGAGCTGATGTAATGAAGGTGTTCAGAAATAAATTTGATAGCTAAATAATTTTATATTAATTTTTTTAAGCCTTATTAAATACTGTTTATGATTTAATGGTAGCTATATGGATAGTATTCCAACATAACGTACCCTGAAAGTGCTTAATGATTCTTTTAATGCAGTTAATTGCCATTGTTCTGAGTTACAGAGGATTATGTTTGCAAAATATTGAGACATTCATATTGATTTTATCATGAAATGGACACAACATGTAGCTAATATTGCTAATGAATTACATGTCCTTATTAAAATACTTTATAAGCTGGTTGACATTTTTAGTACAAAACTTCTTCAAAAGATGGGCATATAGTACTTTTTTTTATTTTATTTTTCACCTCTACCTATGAATGGTGTAACTGCTTTGGGAGGTACTTATGAACAGGGCCTCAACAAGAGGGGTATACACTTGCTTCGGACCCCAAAAATCATGAGGAAAGTACCATGGAGCTCAAGAGGATCAATGAAGAACAATGTGTCCCATGATATTTATTATAATTTGAACATTTATATAACTCATTTAATTTTATCGTATCTTACATATCTCGAATTCACAACTTAATACATTTCCATAATTGAAAATCACAGAGTTCACAGTACATAAAGCCAGTCTGAGACACCATGAATTTGGAAAGCACACTAAGAGCTGTTGTGAATAGACATGGGCCAAAAGATACAAGTATTAAAAAATTTCCACAATACTATCAATTGTAAGAAATAATAAAGTACACACATGGATTTTTTTTATAAGAGCCATATACTATCTTCATTGTACCAGGGTCTGAATTTATTTTTGGTGGTCTTGCTTATGAAAATTCAATTAAACTATTGTGCACTTTTTAAAAGAAAATAATAAAATTGACATTTACAAAAGATAGACCTTACCCCTTTGAAGTTTTACTTGGGTAAGAAATAATAGAAGAACTATAAGAAAACATTTCCTAGAGAAAGTATTTCTCAATAAATTCTCCTCCCTTCAAAATATTTACAACTTAATTTCTAATGAAGAATCTCTAAAATCGCACCTCCAAATGCTATAGAAGACATTAGAGGAATCAATTATATATTTGTTGCTCTAATTTACTCAATAGTGTTTTGAAAAACGTGAATATGAATGACCTTCAGAGGAAAAATTTTATTAGAATATAGGTAAACAATCTAGATGACAGATTTGTAATGTCAATATTTATGTATTTATTCATGTTATTCACATATGTATGACACTAAATATAAAACCACATTTCCTGTATCTGAATGAACATCATACTGCACCTCACATATATTTTTTTATATTAAAGTTAACAGGTCTGCTTCAGCAAGATGCAAAATTTATGTATTGCTTATAAGTTTATTTTGTATTTTTATGTATTGGGCGGAACCAGCAGATCATTTGGTGGGGTCATAGTTAAATAATAAACATACTTGTTGTTAAATTATTTCTGTAGTGAATATATACAATACAATATTATTTTTTAAATAATTACAAGGTAATGGTTAAATATCTACATTAATAAAGAGGCTTACAATAATCCTGTGGATGGGATTTGCTTATTGTTCGTACAATTCTTTCATGTAATTTAGAAGTCTGGGAGCTATAAATGTATTTCCCTAGAATATTATGCCATATTTCATGCAGAAATCAACATTCGCGAAATATACACAATGAGCAGTATGAATGCTGACTGAATTTGAAAGAATTATGAAAGCACAGATAATGAACTTAATTTATTGTTCAATTCTTTTAAATGGACATTGCATTGAAACAGTTTTATTTTCATTTACTATTAATTTGTTATTACGGAACCAATTTGAAATATTTGATATTGTACTATTTATGGTTTCTTAATTACAAAGAATATTCACATCATCTGCAAAGAGATCTGTTCTTCCATTTCAAGTCGTGGGCATATTGTTTCCATATAGTACGAAGAGAATGGGATCTAAAATTGATCCCTGCTGGACTCCACATGCCAATGTATGATGTACTTTTTGGATGCTGCCTGAAACTTACCAAAGTATAATTCCATTGTATCAATAAATAATTATTTATATGTATCATTTAGAATTTGTTTTGTTCTTGTAATGATGAATAGATAATGCTGGAAAGTTTAATTTGATTTTAGCTTTATTATTACACTAAAATCTGTCAAAACCAGAATCAATCAGGTGAAAAAAAGGTTCCCGTTTTATAGAGGTTTCCGGTTTGTACAGGATCTGGTTTATACAGATTTTACTCCATTATTTTAGCTTTTATTTCAAATAATCTTTCTTCAATAATAATACAAACAATAATGTCATGATTTATATTCATGACTGCAAATTTGAAAGTGTTAGAAATATTACACAATATTGTGGGAGTTGGTATGGAATCAAACACTAATAACTTCACTTTAGATACAAAACAATATTATTATTGAACAATAATATATTAACCCTCGTACCATATCTGCAATTTACAATCAAGTACTATACCTGGGGTCTGTTTGGACCCCAAGCTTTACCAACTATTGGAAGTCATAAACACATATGTACAACAATACATAGAGTGTAAATAATTGTTTTTATATAAGTATATGTTTTATACGTAAATGCTTCAGAAATATTTATAATACTTTGTGAAAATTATTACAAGATAAATCAGATATGGACAGTATTGAACACATTTTTTGAAGTTTATACCAAGATATTTCAAATGAAAAGGGGAAAATAACAGGCTATACCTAAGGCCAAATCAGTCTCATAAAATAAATAATTAAAACTCACAAATAAAATATGTGAAAATGGTAGTTCCTGCTTAATAAGTGCACAGAGGCATATCTAGAAGACTGAAATCATCCTGCAAATATTCTGGAAATTGTTAACAAATTAGTAATGAAGGGGTCCAAAAATACCCCAGATATGGTACAAGAGTTAAATATTCATCACAACTCGTTAATTGTTCAGAACGCTCATCTTGCTTGTCTAGCCATCAAAGTGCATTGATGTCTCTCTTCTCATGCAATAGTGTTGCAGTTTGCAGAGTTATTTAATAGAATCACCATTTTCTTCGGTGGTAAAACTCAAAACTCCTTCTCCAATTCCTACAAATGATATCCAAGTTTATGGCAAATTGCACAAGTGAATGAAGGACTGCCAGTAATGACTTAGTAAATGAATTATACATACACAACAATAAAAACAGAAGATCTATTTCAATAAAAGACATGTTAAATATAATATATAGTAGATAAGTTCATTATATAATAAGATGGCTCTGTGTTGGGGGCTTTTATTTGTTGAGGTTTAATAATGATTTTATTATTGTTTTAAACACTGAGGCAGAGATTTCATTTTTTTTTTATTGCTATTGCTATTTAAAGGCACTAAAACAATTACGCACACCAAATATGCACTCCACAAACTCCTTTACAATACAGTAAGAAACAAAACATATAACTGAATAAAAAAGAAAGAATAAAGTTTACATCGAGTAACAGTTCATTGGTAAAAATAAATACAGTCAATGACAACTTTTCAATTTAGTCAGCAGATACTTTGCAATTGTTTTATTCAATTTAAGATATTAACAACACAATTTCTTAGATTTTTCAGCATGTAAACTGGAGAAAACTGGAAAATTCTTCCTCATCATTTCGAATTACTTCAACCTAGTTCACCATTTAGTCCTTCAATTTCACAATTTTTGGAAATCATTATTATAATTCTAACTAAAAGTCAACTATAGATAAGGCTTCTGTCAACATAAGCTGAAACGTATGAAAAGTAGTGAAATAGAAAGAATCAGAAATATTGGACCTAAACAAAAACTATTAATACTTCGATTTTTTAAATGTATGTTTTCATAAATCATGAACAGAACATTTTATGTCCATTAGCTATTTCCTTATATAACATTTATGTCAAAGATATATCAAAAAACAACCATTCCGGAACAGTATAAAATCAGACACAAATACAGTGCAGATAAAACAATATTTATCATACAATATCTATTATGTAAAACAAACTACCAGGCCCCAACTGAGCAGAGAAGTTCTACAATTTCTCTGTGATTACATTCCAATGCCACCATCAATGGAGTACAACCAGACTCGTCTTCACAACTTGGATCTGCCCCTCTTTGAAGTAGTAGTGATGTACAATTCACATGACCAGATTTCACAGCTAAATGAAGAGGAGCTTTACCATTACTATCTGCTATATTAGCATCAGCTCCACATTGCAACAAAACCAAAGCTGTTGAAGAATCCCCATTCTTTGCTGCAATGTGAAGTGGGGTATTGCCTTTGTGGTCCTTTTGGTTGACATCCGCAACCCGTTCTAAAAGGATAGAAAGGCACAAACCGTCTGAACTTCTGGTTGCACAATGAAGAGCTGTCTGTCCTCTTTTATCCTGAACATTTACATTAGTACCCAGATCTATAAGTGTTCTAACACAACTTACATGGCCATTATCCACAGCATGGAAAAGTGGAGGCCATCCGTTACAATCAACAGCATCGACATTTAGGTCCCATCCCACAAACATTTCCAGTGCTTGCCTCTGGCCATAGTGGGCAGCTGTGTGAAGAACAGTCTCCAAATTATCAGTGACACTAGCTAGATCTGCTCCACATTCTATAAGTTTAGCAATGCAACTAATATCACCAGACATAGCAGCATAATGTAAAGATGTTTTTCCATTAACATCTCTACAATTAGTGTCTCCACCGCGTTCAATGAGCATGGAAATCAAGTTCAGGTCACCCTCTGAAGCTGCTTCATGCAACGTGTTCTTTCCGTTTTCCCCACATACGTTGGGACTCACTCCAATATCCAACAAAGTGCGAAGAGCTTCCATTCGCCGGTCCCTCAAAGCCCAAAATAATGCATCTCCCCCAGATGGACTAAGCAAAACTTCAGGCCTGGCATCTGCCAAAGCCCAAACTGTGGCAGCATTCTTTGCTACACACAAAGCTGCAGTCAAACACTCCTCATTCCACCTCATCCTGTGCCTCAAGAGGCATTTGATGACTTCATCCTGTCCTGACTTTGCAGCTGCAATCAAAATAGGTTTTTTCTCTTTCCAAAGAGCTGGGTCAACTTCCAACAGAAGTTCTACAATTCTCGGATGGCCCATAGCAGCAGCAAAATGTAGGGCATTAAACCTACCAACTGAATCTGGGCATGAGATACCCAGCACTCTATAAACTAAATACAATGGTACTTTTCCTAGTTGGTGGTAGAGAGCATAAAGTAGATCTTTCAAAGTTGAGAAAACCTGATACTTCCTTAATAAAGATGGAGTTGTTATTTCAGCAATCCGGCAATGCAAAAGAAGTTTGACAAGCTCCAGATTCCCATTTCGGGCAGCTATCACAAGAGGTTTTTGCCTCGCATCCATTAATGATTTGTAATTATCATGACAAGCACCGTGTTCTATCAGTAATTTGACAACTTCTGGATGCTCTGCTGAAACTGCTATCTGCAATAGAGTTTGTTCTTCATCATTTCTCTTATACTTTTTAAACTGACAAGCACCAGCCTCTAATAACTGTCTTACAATGTCTTTTTTCCCTGAAAGAACTGCCAGTAAAAGTGGTGATTGGCCTTCCAAATCAGTGGAGTTATAAGAGGCACCATCAAGCAACAACATTTCAACCATTGAGGAGTGTCCCCCAGAGACAGCCAGTAACAAAGGGGTTTTCCCCTCAAGGTTAGCAATATCACAGGAAGCTCCATACTCGAGCAAGAGATCTGCTATATCTTCATGTCCATTCGCAACTGCCAATGTCAAAGCAGTTTCTCCACTGCTGTCCTGACTGTTGACTGGAGCTCCTGCGGACAGCAAAGCTTCCACTATTTGTAGATGACCTTCACGAGCAGCACAGTGCAATGGTGTTTGGAGAAGATAACCACACGCCCCCACCTGCAAACACGGAAGCATAATTAGTGGCCATTCTTTTCCGCGATCAAATTTCCCCAATTTTTTCTGTTTTCAGAACATTTTAAAATAATTTCATGATAAAATTTGTAGTTATCTGTCTTTATTTGCAAATATATCAGAACTAGCATATTCATGCGAGAACTCTCGCATGTTAAACTACACCTTCCCTATCCTTCCATTTCCACATTAAAGGGAAAGTTGTAAACAAAACATGTTCATTTGTTTAAAAAATTTAGAAAGGTAACTTCCAAATACTTAGAGAAAATCAAATAAAAATAAAATACAACTTATATTTGAAACAAATTTTCAATAAAGATTATTCAGTATTATACACTTATGTTCTTGGAACAATTCACAACACTTCCCCAAAAACCAATTTTTGAATTTTCTTTTTGCTTTCCTTGATAGTCACAAAAATGAGAACAGCTTTTAACTCTTGAAAAAGCTACAGAAAAGTTGTCCCTGCGAAAATACAGGATCGGGCAACTACAACCCTACTTTTTGCAATGTAATGAAGAATCAAGAACAGTGATCCAGGTAATAAATGACTAAGAAGATTTTATCCTGAAAATTCCAAATTTAAAGGCTCTAGAAATCTGTTTTGGAATTACATAACTATATAGTTTAGTATTATGCAGTTATAACAACTCTCAGGCAGCTTAATCAATGCTGTCCAAGTGTTGCCGGTTGCATTTGACACTAATATTTAGATTTTCAACAAATACTTCATATTTTTGAAGTTGAAGTGCAATTCGTCATGTATTCAATTTTCCTTCTTTAGAGACCTCATTTATAAAGGTCGTGAGAGCAAAACTCATCTATACTACTGAAATAATGTAGGAGAGGATCACCATAATCATAATTTCACTTGAACTACTAGTATGTTCTGTTTCCTGTATTTTACCTATACCTATTGAACCATCCTGGAGTCTTCAAAAGAACTGAATCCGTCACATAACATACCCACATTTCTCACAACAATAATAAAGTTCTTAGAACTTATTCAAGAAACAAACATTTTATTACTAACATTATATAAATGATTTTCAATTGATTAATGCATTTTTGCAAGGTTCAAAGCTAAGCAAAGCAAAGTTTTATTTGTTGATTAGATATCATCCTTCAAATACATCTAGTATAAAAGAGGAAACAAAAGAAATAATGATGAAGTAGGCCTATTGTGTGATTGTGAAAGTGATGACAATGATTGAAGTATTTATTTTGTTAGTAGTAAGTATTATAAAATAAATTATTGTATTAAAACATTTGATATGAAATGTCCTTTCTTATAAGAAAGGTCATAATGGAATATTTGTTTCATAATGGTATTTGTTTCAGTATGATAACTGTATAATAGAATATAGAAAGGTCATAATGGAATATTTGTTTCAGTATGATAACTGTATCAATGCTGCACTTTATTATTGGTTGCACATTGTAGGTATCAAGAATGTCCTTCCTTTACGGAAACCAAGAGTGACTTACACCAATTTAGCAAGAATGTCTGCATAGGAAGAAGGATTCTAAAAGTGAACTGTCATGTTGTCATTTGGCATACATTTCCTGCTCATGATAACCATCAGTCTCAAAAAAGTGATCTCTAGTTGACTACTTCTGTAAATTAGAATTCTTTGGAAACCTCTTTCAACAATTAAACAGGGTCAGTAGTGCAATTTGTAGTGGAAAAAATTAAAGCAAAGAAAAAATCCTGGTTTGATAACCGCAAAAAGTACTAGTGCAGTTTTACAAGACGAATTGGATACTCTCACACAGGAACAGATATTGCAGCTTTTCAGCATTGTTCCCTAAGAAGTAAGAACAATTTTGCAAATTACAGAAAAAGAATTACACCAGAAAATTTGGGAAACATAGGTAATTTGTTGTATTAGGAAATGAATGCATTGTTTGCGTTTCAAGATGTAAAAATAGCTTACTATAGTAAAATAAAAATTTTAAAAAAGTTTTTAGTATGTACATATTTTCAAGTGCACATTTTTCTAATTTTTGTAGCATATTTCCATAATTTTTAGTGCATATAAATCCACACTCTTGATATACTGTGACAGACTTTTGACTAATATTGAATAGTAAGTTCACAACATATCATTGTTCTGACAGCTGAGAGCAAACAAGCACCTACGAACACTGAAGCATATGACTCCCCACAATGCGTGATAAGTAGACACTGGATGTTTAGGCACTAAAAATCGTCTTTTAAGTGCCTAAAAAGGCACTGAAAAGGTCACGAATAAGGAAAGAAAAAAACTGTTGTAAGTTACAAACACAAAAAAATTAAAAATGGTTTGTAATTTTTGTCTGTATTATTTTGAAAACTCAAATGCACAAAACACGACCGTACATTTTAATGTAAAACTGGATTTACATATTTAAAACTCTTTAACATTTTATTATTTTTAGTTTGCATTGCAATCTATTACAGGTTTCAAGGATCACAATTTCAGTTGGGAGGCAAAATGAGTTTGAATGCGAAGAGGGATCTCTCAGCATCTACTGATGTGACTACTGACTGGTGTATAATTTAGAAGTCTAATATTAGAAACACTGAAAACTTCTAGGAATTTACAATTACTTCCATTTAAAATTTCAGTATTCTCAATTGACAAGTTCTCAGAATACAGCTAGTATTTATGAAATAGGAAAAAAATGTGTTGGTATATTTTTAGAAATTCTCTTGTACTTGTATGTCATGCTTCCTGCACATACATTATCAGCCTTTCATTAAGTTTGCTAGAAAGAAGTAGGCATTTCCCTAAACATCCAATCACCTGAGCACTGGCCTGCAGAAGTGTAGCTGTTGTTGCAAGGTTGCCTTGCAATGCGGAAAGGTGCAAGGGGCAGTTGCCATTGTGATCACGTGAGCTGGGGTCAACACCAGAAGCTAGCAGTTGTTTCAGTGTTCTCGCATCTCCAACAGCTGCTGCCTCGTGGAGAGTCAGGGCAGCCAACTGCTCCTGCTCACTCTCTTCCCCTTTGTCTACCTGCAGCACAAACACAAAATATTGCAACTCTTTAACACATTTGATCCTGAGGGATACATCACATGATTAACTCCAGTGTCCTGGGCAAACTATTCAAATTGTTGTAAAACAAAAACTATCATTCATATCAGTTTGAATTTGGTAAAATCTTGTAGTATTGTCTTTCCTATCGAAGTCTTCATGTATTTGATGATCATTTGATTATAAGATAGTAGTGAGAATGGAATTCAAAAATACACGTCAATTTTATATTTTTGTGGATAGTAACAATGTTACAAAACATGGGGAGGGAACTCAGTGAACTTCATATGAAAACAATAATGTTGCACTATAATTATGCTATTTTGTTGAAGTTCAGAAATATTTGCATATCTATTTATTTCTGCCTATATTTTTCAAAATATACCGAGGTAAAAAAATTATGAAAAATAGTCTAGTTCAGTTGAATCTTCACATACACAAAATTTTATTTCACTGGTTCTAAAAATACTGGTAATTCAGATTGTTTATCAATTTCACAGCATTTTAAAGGAAATGAAAAGTATTAAATTATAAAGACTCGCCAATAGAGTTATTTGCATTATATCACTCTCCTCAATATAATTATCACTGTTTAAATGAGACAACTGTCCAGGAATAAAATCATCCTCATCAGAAGAATCCGGTTCTGATTGAATATTCAAAAACTCTTAAATTTCTAATGTTGAGAGACACAATGAATTTGACATCCGATTATGTCTTATAAACATCTGTATATGTTGCTAACAGCATGAACACTACTTACAAAATAGCTTACTAAAGAAAGACATTCTGAACGAAACATTGCCTGCAAGTACGCATGTTTAATCGCTTCCTGCAGAAATAGAAGCATACATCGACATTTGTGCTGCGACCATCTTAATGATATCGAAAAGCATACTCTCATAGCCTACAAATGTCAGAGAGACCATCCATCCATAGGACACTGGAGTAAATGCTTTTTGCAGCTTGCAACTGCATACAAACAAGAAAACTAAATATAATAGGCCTAAACTGGAATATACTAATGTGGAATGGTTCCCTGCTACCAAACAGATGTACACCACAAAGAAAGACATACCAAGAAATGTGACACATAATGTCTCTTTCGGCATGCGAGAAGAGAAGGAAAAGAGAAAATACAGTGAAGAGCATCAAGATCCTGCATGGGCTCTACAACATACATCCATTTGAGACTATTCACAAGAGATCCAGATCAGAGACTTAGAGAACATAATATGAAACTGCAGGAAGGATGAGAAAGAGACACTGATACATATTACTATAAATCAAGCAGTAAACGAATGGAGTGCGTCCCTGCAAGAACAAAGAGCCTTCAAAGCCTTCAAGAATAGTCTAGACCATCATTGCTATGAAGCCAAAAATTAAATGAAAAAAGTGACATGATAACAGTCATTTGTTTTATTCAGTCTAATTGATGATAACCATGACTTGGATAATGACACTACATTTTGGCTTATTTAGTTTAAGAGATACACTACATTTGACACCACATTAATGGTAATAAATGTCTAAATCAGCTGTACCTACAACGATTACTTAATAAATTAATAATGTGATAGCTGGTGTTAAACATTTTAACAGCACAATCCTCACAACCAAGACAACCTAAATATGCAATCTTGCATGCTGATGTTTGTATTTCCATTGCAACATGTCACACATGCAGATGCTTGTATACCATATGTGTTACCACAAACAAATTAAATGTTAACATGACGGAAGGGATTTAAAATAAGAACCTCTGTACTTAAATATTTATAATGCTTATTTTGTTTTTACAGCTTACAGTACACAAAGAAATAGGCAGATGATACGGATAAGGAGATTCACTCTCCAATAAGATAGTTTGGGACAACAAAACACCTATTTTTAAACAAATATCTGCAAGTACATTGATGCAGCTTCTGATTGGGTCCAAAATGAAAGCAAAAGAATTTTTGAATTGAATTGAATTTGCCTTATTTTACGTGGCGAGACTCATCAGGCCCGCTCTTCCGTCTGACCAAAAGAAGGATTGAAAAGACCAGGGGATTGATCAATTAAACACAAAACATTCGAAAGTTAGTCTTTTTTGTCTTTGTCTCAAGTTTTGTTAAAATAAATTTGACTTCTTCAGAGAACTGGTACAAATCAGAGAAATTGATAGAATTTTGTTTGTGCAGACAGGTGTACTAAAACTGTCATACAATTATGACAACATTATACTACAATTAAATAAAATCAGATACAATGACTTTTTTTATTAAATTGTAATACATTGTTGTCAACTGTTCATTATAGCAAAATATATCAATTACACAAGAATAAATTGAAGAGCTCCAAAAACTGATATTCATGGAGTGCTGTAATTTCACTTTTCCGTGATATGCATCAGTAACTTACGTTGTCAATCTCACGTTCATTGAACGATAACGAAATGCTCTCAAAGCTACAATTAAATTTGCAGATTTCTCATAACTCTGAATTGTTATACAGAAATATCTACAACTGGGGGGCATTGAGCACAAAGGGTACAAGTGTCATGGATTATTATTATTATTAAGGATGTAAGATTGTAAGAGGGGTAAAACTGGTTTTAAGGCTGGCATTGTTTAGCCGAATTCCTTTCCTAAGCTCCGTGAACATGAATAATGTTGTTAAATTGTGTAAAAGTGTAATCTTTGATTATTTTTATGAATAGATTTTATGCAGTTGATAATCCATTAATGATGCTATGAGTTTAAAATGAAACTATGATTAAAATTGAATTAAGATAATATTAATGAGTTAAACCACATATCTATACTATCTTAATGAAAGAATATGGTTTCTGATGGAATGTCAATCTCATCTATTACTATACATATTAATAATTTAACGACTTCACTAGAAACACACACACACACACACACACACACACACACACACACACACACACACACACACACACACACACGTGCACGCGCGCCCACGCCCACACACACACTCTCTTCAATATGGAAATAGTAAATAATGATAAATCAAAATTAAAAATGACAACATTTAAGTCCCACTCGCACATAATATTAATTACAAGTACTTTGTTTCCAAAATACATCTGCCAATTGTTTAATTTAGAGGGGGGGGGGATCAAAATATTATGGCCACCTCCAACAAAGGTGGTTTACTGTTAGGAAAGGTGCAGTACCACTTCTTGCTAATTTCTTACCTCTGCTGAAGGAGTGAAACCCATAGTCCACGGACCCCCAGTTAGCCACTGCCACAGGGCGCTTAATCTGCTGTTAGCTGTGGGCAACGTTGCAACTTCTTCATGACTCTTCTCATCAGATGTATTGCAATCTGCAAGGCAGATTACAAGCTCTGCATTAAATATCTACCCATAAATCCTTTTCATATTCAAAGAAAAATTCATTTCATTATCATAAATATACTTTCATGGCATATAATATATTAGGAATGGTATTCTTAAGAAAGCCTTTCAATTGAGCTAGTAAGGCACAGCAGAAGAAAATACCAAATAGAAATAAAATGTGGTAGTAACATTTTAAAACAAACTGAATGTTTTTCAGTAGAGTGAATGAGCTGGTGTGTTTTTTATGCATGTGATACCATTCTTAAGAAATATCCCTAAAAGAAAAGCAGGGCAAGTGTGCGTCTCAAATTCAATTCATATTTCATTAATTTAAAACTCCTTCTTAAAAGTGTTGTAACCCTTATCTGAGAAAATTGATACATAAAAGCTTTCAATATTGAAAGAAAAAATTGACAAGTTTGAACTACTAAATATTAAAAACTATAAAATACAAGGAAACAAAATTCCAAAAAGACATAAAAATAAGTCATTACATAAAATTAAACAACAAAAACTAGAATGTCACAATTTGTTAACAGTAAAAGTATACGACAAAATAAAAAATAAAACTAATACAAATAAAACAGTAAGACACAATAACACGAAAGTTATTACCTAATACTTAATACAAAGATAAGAATAGCACAATTTTCACAATAAAAGAATTAAAAAGATAGTAGCCATACATGTCTTGGTCCGCTAAATATAAGCTATGGAGTTTCGCCTTGAAAGCTGACAATGGGAGGCCAAAATAATCCATTTTCATTCTAAATTTATTCCCCACTCCCAGGACTAGATTGTTATTACCTATGGATGTTTTCATTATGTTCCAATGAAAAATACAAGATTGATGTAAGGGTGGTGAATTAAATGTGATTTTGTTAATTAAATTACTCTCATCAATGCTATTGATAATTTTAATAAGAAATATCATATCAGTAATACATCTTCTGGCCTGTAAGGTATTTAATTTCAATTTCTCTTATAAAGGACCATATTCATGATTGTTAAATGACATTGGTTTAATTTCGTAGGTAGGACACGATGGTGCATTCACTCGATACAGGGTATGTCTTTTAGAAAACAAGGTGACCATATTGGGGAGACATATTCAAAAATGTGTTGAACTTGAGTTTTATGTAGAAAGATGTAAGTACAGCAATTTTGTAAATACATGCAAGTTCTGTTAACAAAACCAAGCATCTTGAATGCCTTATTTACTATATTATCAATAAAACAGAATGCAAACAGAAAGAACCATTACAGGAATAATTTACACTAAGATCTTTAATAGAGCCAGCACCATCAGAGAAACGGTAATGGAATAGAACAGGATTGTTTATTAGAAAAGCAAAGCAATTTGCACTTTGTTGCATTCAGGGTTATACCTTTTTTTAACGTACCAGGCCTCAACCCTTTCCAAATCATCTTAAAAAAGTATAGCTTCCGATGTTTCATTAATAGCCATGAAAAATTTAGTTATCTGTAAAGATTAAGACATTACAGTGGAATAAATTGTCACATATCATTAACAAAAAAATTAAACAGGAGACAACATAGATGTGAGTCTTGAGGAACTCTAGAACTTAATTAAAATTAAGTAAACTTTCTTGACTTGGGACCACAATAGGAAACAACATGAACTCTTTGGGTTCGATTGACACTTGAATGTGAAATTCCACATCTACGTAATTTGTCAAGTAAGACAACTTAACTGACCCTATCTAATGCATTAGCAAAATTGGTGTAGATACCATAAATTTTATTACATTTGTCAAGGTGTTGGAATAAGTATAAAAGGAATAGTAAAAGGTAAGGAAGAAGTATAAAAGGTAGTAGGGGGTTGTTAGGGGGGACATTCCAGGTAAGAAACCAAGTTGATCAGGTGAGAAAACACATTTCAACTTGGAGATCAAGACCTTATACACTAATTTCTCAAAGAGTTTGGGAATGGAGTTTGTATTTGCAATGGGGTGCTAGTTACTCGAGTCACAAATATCACTAGATTTGAATATCAGAACAATTTTACAAATTTTCCATATACCTGGAAAGATTGGGATAGTGAAAATTATTGATAGGCTTAATCCAGAAATTGAAGCTAAGAACTACAATGTTATTGAATGAGGACAAGAGGAGATCAAGACCATTGCCCAAGTGGTTTACTATCATTTTGTTTTGATAGAGATTTACATTGCCCAGCTTTTCACAAAGGAACAGTTCTAATAGTTATGTTAGTAGCCTTTTTTGAGTAAGAGAATGTCAACCCATACAAATCGTAGCTCCAAGAAATGTCACCAAAAAGACTGAATTTGGAATCATAAGGGGACGAATGCAAATTAAGACTGATGGTAGATATATAGCAGCCAAGTGTAGATTGGTTGTTAAGTGATAATTTGACGTAGTATTGGGCACAGATGGAATTAGAGTGATGATCCCTTTTTATAGAAATTAGTGCACCTCCATCTTGGGAGGCAGCACTGGAGACGTCTGATCTACCTCCCTGTAAACATTGCAGTTGAAAAGACCTCATTCAGAGCTGTAATTCCTACTGTTTAGCCAAGTTTCTACAAAAAAAAAATATCCTAGTCAAATAGTAATAAAGTATATATTTGATTGAATATGACATGTAGGTAGATCAGATAAATTACCACAAAAGTCTACATATATCTAATCATTTATCACAAAAATACATTAAAAACTGCATCAATGTCACGGGAAAGTGGGGGGGGGGGGCTCGTTGGCACACATTTCCTTGAGCTCCAGAAACTCTATGTTCTCTTTAACTACACGTTACTGTTTTATGAATAATGGATCCAACAAGCATGGTTGACATTTGAAAACTAATGACTACTTCTATGAAATAGAAAACATATGCATCCTTAAACTTGCATGTGATGGTCTAATAAACCATCTATACGTTTTCTCACTACTTTAACTATCTATAACTTTTACAACTAACATTATTAACATATAATTTATCCGAGTAGATTTTTACATAACAGCAAGTCACTTTACTTAATACTATTTCCTCTAAACTAATAATTACAAAAGGATATTTCAAACAAGAAGAAATTATGTTATTTTCTATTGCACACCTTATCTTTTTTTTCTTCTTCTTTGAAATAACATATTAATTTTAGAGTTTATTTGTAATGAAAATAATCACTAATAACCTTGAAGTTTAAATTATAAGAAAATAGAAAAAATAATTTTACAAAATCAAAATTTCAAAGAATTTAAAGCCATTTTAAAGAATTCCTTGTGTTGTATAAGAAATACTTCCAAGACAGGTTTCCTTTCATTCTTATTTTTAAGCAAAAGATTTTTCAACAAAACCTTGAAATTCAACATTAGAAATTGTAACTAAATGCTCACTCTCCAATGTCATAAATTTCTGAAAATACCCCCACCTGAATGGACTTCTAAGTCACTCTCATTGCTCTCTTCATTAGCAACATCTTCCTCTCCTATCTCTTCTTCAAAAGGCAAAGCATTATCCTCTTCGTCTTCTGCATCTGGAAAGTCGTTCTCTCCAGCTTGCATCTCGGCTAGTGGAGCACTGGGGCAGAGGGGATCTGCAAACTGGGGTGAAGGCTGGCGGCCTTCCAGGCCCGCGAGCAACGCCTCCACACGCGGAAACATTGTATGCAGAGCCTTGTGGAGGGACTCTTCCACCCCACATAAACGGCTCTGGGTCTCCTGCAACGCGATCTCTACGCGATGAACTTTTTCTTCTAAGGCAATTGTTCGTTTCTTGAGACTCACATTTTCAGGCCTGTTTGAATCTAATTCCTCGTGCCCATTGCCAGGCGAAGAAGTGGCAGGAGTACCTGGCATGTTATGGGTTGTATAAGGTCAGACCTACAACACAGCATTTCAAAAGGATCAAAGATGTGAAAGAGAGGCAAACACTTACCACAAAAATTTGATCATAAAACAAATACTTTCAACATATAACATGTGTATGTATTATATTTTACTTATTAACTATAGCCCCCTCCATTTCATATTAAAATTATCTTTCTAGCTTATCGCAATAGGAACTCATCAGTAGAAATTTAAAGAACTTTCTGATGGATGCATTTAGTATGTATTTGAGAGGGGGGAAAGGCTGCATTTTGATGAATGAGCATTAAGTGAAATTTTATCACAACATTGGCATTTAAATTTAACAATAAATTACTCGAAATTCCAAGAACATTACTACTCTATAATATCCAGAATGTTTTGCAGGCACAATTCACATATTTCCTAAGAAGTAAAATGGATTTATCTTCATCTCTTCTGTAAAGTCAGAATATTTGAAAAACAGTTTTAATTCCGATTTGAAACCAACAAAAGACAAACCCATTAAAACAGTCTTGTTTTATTTTTCAGCTGATAAGTAACTAATAGTAAAATACATTACACTATTTTTAATAACTATTAGAAAAGGTTTTACAAGGAAAATCAAAACCTTTGGCAACAAACGTTTTTGCAAAATTATGAGAAAACATGTTATTATCCCCCCAATACAATAACCTTGAATATAATTGACTTTTTAAGATGATTTTTGATGAATGTATGAATTTTTAAAATTAATCTTTGGAAATAAAAACGATAATAGCCATCTCCTTTACACAAGATTCTGAACATAAAATTTTAAGAGTAATGCTCACTGATAATCACTAATCTATTGAAATTCCATTAACTTTACAAAATGTTGCAAGTAATATTCATCGCATAATGTGGTACAGTTTTCATCTAATTGCTAATATGCTTATCAAATTTATTACCAAGGTTTGAGGAGATCAATCAGCATATTGATGAAACTTAATCAATATGAAAATAAAAATATTGAATAAGCTGAGATCTTTCATTACTTGCCCCAAAAGGTCATTCCTTCTTAAAAATAATTGACTAATTCATCTTAAAACATGGCTAAAATAAAGGCCTCATCTACAATGAATGTGTGCACTAAAGGAAAAAGCATTGTAAGGAATTGCCCATAGTAACAAACGTGTGACAAACAATGAGTTTTATATATGAAAGTATGAGCAGTCAACAAGAATGTTTGAAAACAAAGTTATCATTGCCATTTGACTTCTATTATGTAGCCAAATATGTTCGCTATATAAATTAACATCTCATGTTATATAAACATTTGTGTGTTGTGACAGTCTGGGCATAACTGAATTGTATACAAATTCACTTTTACAATAAAATTCTTTCATTAACAAATGATTTCTAATATTTTCCAATTGGTCATAAGATATTTAAGGTCATTTTAGTACAATACAATATTACAGTAATAATAATAAACAATACAAACTTAACCAAACATATTTGATACAACCAATTTTTCTTAATTACTATACTCAAGAACTTCTACTCTAAAAAAATATTACAAAATGCTTGATTACATAGTATGCAACACTTACACAGTATCTAAAAAAAAACAATTTATATGTATACTCCAGTTTACTTTTCGCATTCAAAAATTTGAATGGTTTGATTAATTCTTAAAAGAATCTGTGTTTCCTTTCTTGGGTCAGCTTTCCATCATTTCCATCATCAGTGCAAAAAGTGTTAAATGAACTGTTCTAGCAACAACCCAAGATCCTTGCTCATTTGTGATAAATGTATTGTAGGTGAAAGTAAAAACATTATAAAAAGACACAAACAATTATGTTTGAATAAAAAGACAAACCTTTTTTTCTTTTAATAAACATATTTGTCATTTCAAAATAAACAAAAATTCTTTCCCAAAATTACTTTCGCTGTGTGATCTACAGTTAGTATTATAGTTTCGTATTTCAGTAATCCGAATCCGATTCAAAATTCGCGCCCGATGTTATTCGCAGTACGATTGGGCAACTGAATCGCGCGTATTACTTGTAAAAACCTGTCATAACGTGTTTGAGAAGTGCATGCGAGTTATGAGTGGACCTTTGGGTGTCATATGTTGTATCATATCCTATTTACAACCCCATCTCTTCAAATAAATTTTCGATATGCTCTTCTCATCATACCCACGGCGATATACTAAAAAGAATTCGTACGGCGATAAAGTAAAAACTGGTACTGACACCTGCCCGGACCAGCCTTTAAAAACATGTCAATACAATTGTCACATGCTATTAAGATTTTGCTGAGACAAATGAACAGAATATACAATTGACAAATATTTGAAGCAAATGTACTACTAATGCAGTACATAATCCGTCCAATGCACGGATTCCTTGTATGTTGAAAGTAATTCGCCCAAAACCTTATAACAACGCAGTGTTAGAGGCAATTGTAATTATAATGTGGGCTTTTTACAATTTACAATAATAAGCACATAATTAATATTTGGCGCACTTAAAAAGTAATAAAGAATCGTTTACTTACTATAGTTCTTGTTTGACTTGACTAATCGGTCCAGACAGCCAGTACACAACCTAATCGGATGAACTGTAAGCTGATAATGTCATTTACGGTTATGACGAGATCGTGTTTCTTGAGGGCCTAATGCAACAGTGGATATGTGTTAATCTCCGGCCCGTGTAAAACCATGTGGCAGATGTAAGACTTCCACGCCGGCCCGTCGTATTATAGCCCATCTTACATCACAAGCGGACCGTGACGTGCACACCACGCGTTGCCTTGCATCGTGATGCACTGGTGAAGGTGATGCACAGCAAGGCAGTTTCATTCGCTCTCTGCTCTCGCACATAGGCTACTGTTTGCCCGGCGTTATAGTATTCAAAATAGCCAGCTTCCTTTGCTTCGGAGAACAACTTTTTTCTGTAATATCCAAAATAGTCCTATGTAATGTTGAAGATATTTTAGGAGAATACAATTCCAACAGCACTTCTTTGCCATGCTTCCGATGTATGCTCTGAAGTATTGTATTTGTCGCCACATATTTAAACATATAGAAGGAAACAGCATCACATAGCAAGGAAAACTAAATTTCTCGGAATCACCATACAATCCAACCTCAAATGGAACTCTCACCTCGAAGATATTAATTCAAAATTAAGCACACCTAATTATGCTCTTAAAATAATAATAAGAAACAGCACCATTGAGACAGCATGAGCAGTGTACTTTGCAAATGTGCACTCTATTCTCAAGTACGGGATAATAAATAATATAGGGCTAAGCACCAGAGGCTAAACAAACATTCAAAATACAAAAGGGAATCATTCAAACAATAACAAATACAAAAAGAACAGAGTCCTGCAGACCTCATTTCAAAAAACTGAACATACTTCCACTGCCTTAAATTTTTATTTATGAAGTTATCATGTTTGTAAAGAAAAATCTAGTAAACAATGACAAACTTTACAAATTTAAATCAAGCTTACACCCCTATAACACAAGGCAAGCATGTAACCTTCATCGACCAATGTGTACAAGCACATTATACCAAAGGAATACATTCTCTTCATATTTGTACCAAGAGTACAATTCTTCAACAAATTACTAATACATCTGAGAAACACGACAGGCTTGTACAACTTCAAGAAAAAACTCAAACACTTCCTTGGGGAAAAACTTTTTTATAGCATTCAGAAATACTTCAATGACTAACACAAGCAATGTGATTTCAGGTGCTGCAGTAGGACTAGGTGTAGAAATAGGGAAAAACCTGCCTCCTCCTCCCCATTGCAAGTAGATAATTAGGTAATTTTTAGGGTTACCAGAGACTAGTTGAAAAAATCACTATCATAGAATCAAAAAGCCAACACATTTTTTAATTATGTCATGAAGGTATGTACAAAGTTCTTGTACTAGCTACTACAGAAGAGAGATCAATTTATATGATAAAACTGCATTTTATGGTAAATTATACGACTATGGAAGCAGGGTCGGATCCAGAGACAAATTTTTGTGTGTGTGTGTGTGGGGAATTTGAAGGATGATGATGATAATAATAATAATGATATTATTATTATTATTATTATTATTATTATTATTATTATTATTATTATTATTATTATTATTAATTTTCCAATAGAATTACATTGACAGTGTACAAAATCATCACCATAAAAACAATAAGAAAGAATACCAATTTTATTCGACTTCATTACATACATTACATCCTGTTTAACCTTTTAGTAAAAATACTGGTCTCATCAGATTTAAATTCAAATTTATTTTTTAAACAGTTAACATGAAACAGAAAGTCTAATTGTATAAGAAATTCATATTAATTACATTTTTAAGGGAAATATTGTTGTGATTTGAATATTCCTTTACACTGTAGAACATGTTGTTTAGAAGGAAAGTCTTCAATTTATTTTTAAATGTATGATTGTTTTTATGTCTTTAAAATTATTGCCTAGTTTGTTGTAAAGTGTAATGCCCGGTATTAGGGTACTTTTTTGATAAAGTGTAATTTCAGTTCAATTTTCTTGTGTTTCTCATTTTTATATTTCCAGCACTTTACCATTTGAATTTTTTCTCTAGTCCCATGGGGGGGGGGCGTATGTTCCCCATCGATCCGCCACTGCGATTACATCAGTAACATATCCAGTGGCTTGAGTTACGCCTCTGAATTTGTTTTGATAAAACAATTTACGCCACTTTTCTTTGCTTTTAAGGCATATTAAAAACATTACAAAAAACAACAACAAAAAATCTTAATTTACCGATAACACTCGGGCATTTATATAGTATCCCCAGAATGAGGAAATATAATAACAAAGAGGTGGATTTTGAAGACTTAAAACACTGCCAAAATGATCAAGAGTTTGCCATAAGATAAGAGTTCGTTATTATATTATTATATTTCCTCATCCTGGAGATACTATATAAATGTCCGAGTGTGAACGGTAAATTAAGATAGTTTTTTTATTAAAAAATTATGGTCGAATGTGTCATATTACAGATTATGTAGAATGACGTAGGCTAAACTCAGTTCATGCTGCTACACGATTTTATTCGTTTTAATGATTATCCGAAAATATTTTTACGGAGTAAAGAGAAAGTTACTTAACACTGCGCGAAAAAAACACGAAGTTTCAGCAGACAAAATCGCATTACACGACCCTGGTAACGAACAAATAGATAAATTCAGTTGCTAAAATTTAGGGGGGGGGGGGAGATCCTCTAAGACGCGGTGTAGTCAGAACCCATGTTTTGTAGGTTCTTGATTCGGAAAAATCGAATGACAGCAAAATATGCCTGTCCGTCTGTGAACAACGCTAGCGGCTAAACCGTTCAGCCGATTTTCTCCAAAATTGACATTCTCCATTCTATCCGGCTGATGTTGGGGACCCTGGAATTTGAAACCTATATTTTAATTTTTAGGGGTACTTTACATGAAGCACGTGGGACAGTTTTCAAATTTTCAAAAAAATGGCTCTATCAATTTTGATATTTTTTTAGTTAGATACTGCGAAGGATGTTTAAGAGAATGGTGCAGGTCTCATGTTCGTTGAAAACACTAGTTTTTGGAAAATTGCAGAAGGTAAAAATTTCTCCGGAGTATTCTTGACTACAACTAAAACTTTCCTACAACTAAAATATTAAAAATAGAAATTTTCCCCCTTAATGTAATCTGTTAAAAATAGATTTTGAAATAATGTGATTTACAAATTTTCGAAAATTAAGAGTATTTTCCGCGTAATTTTGCGTGAAATATAGGTAATTTTTAAATTCTGTTTAAACAACTTTTTTTTCTTAAAAACGACTCCAAAGTTTTTGATGAAATTTTGTTGGTGGATTGTCTGAAGGACGTTTAAGATAATGGCGTAAGTCTCATGTTGGTTGAACACCTTTTTTTTAAATTAAAAAAATTCAAAAGTTTTCCGGCGCCTTGCTTTTCGAAAATTGGAAAATTTCGAAAAATGTTCGTACTTTTCGTGTAATTTAGCGTGAAAATATGGGCGAGAAATAGGTGCTGGTTCAGCACAACTAGTTACTTGAAAGTTTCGTGAGAAGTTAAAATTATTTGTTACTGAAATTTTTTTTTTTGGGGGGGGTAGGAGGATTTCCTAATTCCCACCCCCTTCCGTGGATCCATGTCTGATGTCAGCTTTATTAAGAAGGATTCTTCCAATTTCTGTTTTAATATTCCTCATACAAAAATAAGAATAAGGCAAACAGGGCTACTTATAGTTAAAAACACTGGGTTTCACTACTAATATACCTATTTCTCTAACCCAATTATATTTTTTGTATATTTTATATTTAAAAAATATTTAAATGAAATTAAACAGTAAATAGATATTAAAAAAATCAGACCTTTTGGAAACAAATCATAACAATCAGGACATAATCCTAAAACCAGGACATGTCCTGATAAATCAGGACTTTAGTATACCTAGTGTCTTCAGTTGCAATGTCAATACCTAGAGGGTTTTATTTGTAGAAAATCAGCTTCAAGTATTTTGTCACATACCAACACCCAATTATGGTAACACAACTCAATGAATAGCTCATTTGGGTACTTCTATGACAACTAGAATATTTCTAATGATTTTGAGAGGCTTCTTCAAGAAAAAATAGGGTCCAGGAATAAAGTTTCAATTTTTTGAAAAAGATGGCAATAAAAGGCCATTTCAGATGATGTTTTGTAAGTGTTGCATTGAGTTCAACAGGAAATATGGAAAGTTAAGATTAAGCGAAAGCATTTTCTTATGAAGTATCTATCTCACTTGTTTTTTTTATTATGACATACTGGATAATCAGTTGTCTCTAATTACACAGGATGTAGCACGATGCTGTTGTCTACTTGTTATTCAAGTCCTGCATGTAGAACAATAACAAACTCTTGTTAAAAATATTTAAAATGGCAAGCTTCAGTGCATTGAAGAATAATTTCATTTTTGAATAATTAAACATTAAAAAGTCCTGTATACACTACTAAATTGTAGTTGAGTGAAGTCAGTGGCCAAGGTAGGGTTGCTGACACCTGAAGCAATATTGATGACACCACCCCTGTCTCTCTATTCATGAAAAATCAATTAGCATTGTTGAAAGACATCAGGCATAAAAGTAATGCATACCAGTATAGTAGAAATTAAAAGAAAATTGATCATTACAAACACTAATTCCTAATTCTTTCATAAAATCTTAGTAATTCCTAATTTGAAGTATTTCTTCAGCTATATCAATATGGACAATTTCAATACATAGATTGCCTTCATCACCATTTTGAACTGCAGGATGTTAGGTGTATTGTCTTTTGTTTTTCCAACAAATATGGTGTTACTTCCTCTGCATTTTCTTTGGTCTCCCAATATTTCATTGATCTTTAGGTTTGTATTTAAATGCTAGTTTTGGAAGTCTTTCTTTCTTTGTTCTCTTGTTACTTGATGATTGCATCAGACTATAACTTCGTAGTGAAAGTCTCCTTTTCGAAAATCCTAAATTAACAAATAGTGCTATTTTAAAATTATAAATATAGTGGCTAAAACACTGACAGGTCTTGCCTGAACCTCTGTAGTGATTTTCACATTCAGTACTACAAATGACATGACTTTCTGTACTAACCAAAATTTTTTGTTGTATGCCTCTTCCTTGTATTGGCAGCCCTTCGGCCAAATGAGCCATTCCAAAGATGCCTCAGAGGAATCTAATCTCCGTGTTTCATATCTTAGGTCCCCACTCAGAGCCTAAGTTGCTAGGCCAATCGACTCAACCAAAACATAACATCACATGTTCCAGCAAATCTCTTATATTTTTGGATTTCATTTTCTATACCTGCATAATGCACACTATTGTTGCCTAGAAAGCAAAATTTGTTCTCCCCTCCTATCTATATCCGTCTTAATTTTCTTTCCTTGAAAGACTATTGCTCTAGTTTTATTTGTGGAAATTATGTCATACATTCCTAGTATTTTCATCACTTCATTTTCTGCAATGTGACGTTCTTCTGACACCAAAAACCTTAACAAATCACCTTCATAAAGTCATACTACTTTCAAGAAGATAATTACTACAGAAATGGAGTAAAAAAACATAGTATGTTAATTATTTAATAGCTTCTTAATTCACAATCACACTATTAATTTTAGGAATAGTTAATGGTTGTTTGTCATAAGTTAATTATTTGATTACTGTGAAGAGTAATAGTGGCTTGTGTCATCTTGCTTCAAAATATCTCCTTTTAACTTTGGGGTCACCTCTTGATTCCCCATCTGTGGTTGTGACTTCCATATCACTGATGTATATCAGCACCTATTTCAGCTATATTAGCCGATTTCAGGGAAGGGTTGGATGAAGATTGGAGGATGGTGGAAGGGTGGTGAGAGCCCATCCATCCCCTCCGGGAATTCACATCCCTGGCCTTGGCCTTGGCCCCAAGGAATTCAGTGTAGACTACCTACCAATGGTTTAATTATTCATTTTAATCCCAGATTCAAATCAAACTCAATTTGAACAGATAATAAAAACAAACATTTTAGGTTAGAAGGACAATGATTTTGAAAACAATCTATAGAATTAGACAAGTTTTTGTGTAGAAAGGAGTAAAAAAGCAACATTGGTAATGTATATTCAAAATTTCTAAGAATATCAAAAGGATTATAAAAAAATAACACTTGTGTTACAGACAATTTTCCTTTATTGGCATATAATTACATTTAATTTTTGCTGGGACATAGTACAATGTACTTCCTGACAATAGTTACAATTCCAAGCCAATGAAATAATCAAATCTGGCACTCACAGCTACAAGTTTCATTCACAATAATGAACAACAAAAAATAAAGGGAAGAAAAAGAAGTCTTAAATAAGATTCTCATTTAATATCAATAACCTAAAACATAAGGGTATGAATAATTGAATAATTACAAAATATGAATGTTTTCAAACATTTTATCAGTAGAAAAGATTGTTACATGTCTTACTCAATTTAAGGTTCAAAATTGGAATAAACACTTAATATAACTGATTTTTATATTTACAAGTATTTATGATGTTGAACCACTTTTATGAAGTAATATTCAAACGACCATAATCAATATTATTTTATTCTCACTGAATTCTAAATCCAGATGGCAACGCATCTTGACTCAATTAATTTTTCGACTAGAATGAACAAGTCTCATTGAGGGAAAAAAAAACAACAACAACCACCCTGAATAACTTAGTATTCCTAATAGATCAGGCACAAATAACTTACATTCAGAGATATATCATAAACAGAGCAGCTATAAAAAAACAAAATTTTATTTTAATGTGCTGTAACAATCTTCTAAGCAAGGTCTTAATTTCAAATCAAGAGTGCTTAATGCTTGGAATTCATAGGTTTATTGGAAAATTTTGGAATATTCAAGTTAAACATTTGTGTTAATTGAGATAAAGACAACAAAATAATTGTTTTCTTATCCTGTAAGTTCTTTACACAATCATTCCAATATTTACATCTACTAACAAACACTTCACAAAATTGAAAAAGATTTGTGTTGCATACATCTAAGTTGACACACAACATTTCAGCATTTAAAACTCGAAGTCTTAAAAAACGATTGTTGTGAATTACCGAAATGTAATATTTCACATCAAACTTTTGTTTTACACAGTTTCAATTTTTATTAAGCACCACAAAATACTTTTTACTTCCATCTTAACTTTAAACAACCCAATTCAATATTACCTCAAACTTTCCATCACATAAAATATATAAAGATTACAACTATCGTATTTCTGAAGATTTGTTTGAAAAAATTCAAAACCCAACTCTTTCTCAATGGTTTTATAACAAGCTTCTGTGAAAATAATTATGTTAATATATTTATCTCCATAAGTGAAGAGCACAAAAATATATATTGAACTTTTACTCAGGTCATTCTTCAGTTAGGCATGCAAACACCAAATTTGTACACAAATTATGTACAAATTAATTAATGAATTCCCTAAGCTCATTTATATTTATTACAAATATCTTTATGGAAAGAGCCACATTACAATTACAGGGGTCTCTTCAACTTCAGACGATCTGGAAGATTTCATTTAGTAAATCATATCCTGTAAGCCAATACTCTCATTCCATACATCAATAAGAATTGTAGATCACAGACAAGTAATGGAACAACCATAAAAAACTGTAAATAATAATAATAATAAAATTAAAAAAACTTATTAGGGTGAGAATAAAGTATGGCATGCAAAACTAAGTTTTAGCAAGCTCAGAAGCACAAGCACCCTTACTCCAGCAAGATAAAAAGGAACACATTTGATAGTCTCGGTACATTGGAAAGAAAATTTAACATAATAGCTCACATATTTCTTCTCTGGTTTATTTCTTACGAGTAATTCATGACACATATATTTCCCTATTGACAATACACTGCCAATGTCATCTAATCGTGTTATGAATGTCAGTGCTTTTTATGGAAAATTATTTTCTTATAAATCTCACACAAAAAATACATTAACATAGGAATAACTACTGCAGTTTGAGTTTGAACTGTGTATACACATATGTACAAAACTTTCTTTCCAATGGTTTTCATAGGGAAATTGACACAAAATGCTAATTAGGGCAAAAAACAGGTTTGGATACGATGTTTAACAGACCTTTCTTATATATTTTAACATACAATCACATAATCATCATCTAGTAACATCATTTGTTATTATGTACACTTGAATACCTCCTGGATAATTTCTAAATACAACAAAAACATTATGTACATAAGTATATTGATAAAAGCATGATTTGAATACTACAGAATCAATGGTTATGAAACACTGAGTGAAATAAAGTAAAATGACAGAGCAACAATTATGACAATAATATACAAAGGAAAACCAATATGCAAACAAGGATTTAACACTATATTCATAAGTGGATTATTAAGTACAATTATGGCACGTTTATCGCATGGTTCAAAGGACAAAATGTAACTTTATTTGGAAATTTACACACATATTCTTTACCCCGAGCTCATGAGCATATGTTATTATGCAAGTAATTATATAAATAAAAACCAAAAACCTCGACTGAACCTGGCTTTACAGTATTTTTCTCGGCCATTCTCAAACATTCAATAATTTTACTGTTATCAGAGTCAGAAGTAACAAAGTTAAAATGTTTATATTTGGAGTTCAGGTTACTAATGATTTTTCCGAAACATTTAATTGTTGTATGGTCATTTGTTGACTAACATTCTGTATGACATTTGTTGTTCAACACAGTCTTTATGTGTATTGTGATTTTATTGTGCGGCGCAACAGAATGTCAGCACCCTCCTTTTGCATACGATAGCCTGAAAATGAGCCAAGTTGACATACGTAGAGATTAGTTAGTCTGTACTGTTTTGAGGATAAAAATGAAGGACTGAAGTTTGGAGAGCTTTGAGATTTGGCGTTTCCAACCTGAAGTCCAATATGATCTGTAGTTGGATGTGAAATTGTGTTCTGTATTAAATTCAATTGATTTCATTTTTTTATGGTCATCAGAATTTTTTAATCATAAAAAACACACCATAAAACCTGATTCTATCCACAAATCTGATCACTGGAGTTCAGCATTTTAACAGCACAATCGTGACAAAAACAACCTAAAAATGCAGTCTTGCATTGCACAAAAATAAGTCGCACACGCAGATGTTTGTATATTACATGCGTTACCTGATTCAAATTACATTTTAACATAAAAGAAAATACACAAGACAAGATCCTCTGTACTTAAATAATTACAATGCTTATTTTGAAACCACAGCTTTCAGTACACAATGAAATAGGCAAAGTGATACAGATAAGGAGATTCACTCTGCAATAAGATAGTTTGAGAAACCATACACACCTTTTCCAAACGAACATCCACGTGCTGGTAATGAGGCTTCTGACTGATCCATTGAACACACAACAACATTCAAAACTAATAGCAACTTTCTTCTTTTCCTCAGGTTTTGTTAAATTAAACTTGCCGTCTTCAGAGAACTCATACAATTTTGCTAGGGTAGACAATCGAAAAGAATGTACTACCAATAAATAAAATGCCATAAGGTAATATTTTTTATTCAATTGCAATACATTGTTGTCAACTGTCCAATACATGCAAGATTGTATCAATTTCTTTGTATTGGATCAGTTTTTTGAAAAGGTCAAATTTATTTTGACAAAACACCAGGAAAAGAAGAAAGACACTAATAAATGACAATTAGTTTTGAACGCAGTATGTAATGGACTCAATACAATGTTTTTTTTTTAACATGAAAATACAAACAAAACTAACAATAACACAAAAATAAATTGTAGAGCTCCAAAAACTGATATTCATGGAGTGCTGTAATTTCACTTTTCCATGAAATGCGTCAGTGGCGTATTTTGCCAATCTCTTGTTTCTTTTAGATTATATTTTTACTGTTCTTTTAGCTGTGTCCATTAAGCATTTCCAATTGATATTGAATTAAAAAAAAATTATCAAATTAACTTTGCGTAATAAAATACAATACAAAGTGATGGCAGCTGCTAAGAATTTTAATTCAGTCACTTGTGATATGTATGAGAAAGGCTTTGAATATGTAATGCTCAAGATATAAATTTATTGTTTATGTAATAATAGCAATAATAATATGAAATATATAGTTATTTTAGTCTAAACAAAAATTCTTAAAATTTACTGACCCATTCTCACATTATTAAAGAATTGCAAACTTACTACTCAAAACGAATGGGAGTTGGATTCTATTGCTCAGCAATCAATCTCGGGTCCACTTGCTTCCGGTGCTGCAGAGTATTCTCCTTCTAACAGGTACAGTATTGACTTCAATTTTTGGCTTAAGTAGCTGCAAATAAAATAAGGTCACAGCTTTTAGAGTCCTATGGGTCTGATTATTTGCATATCAATCTCAATTGGATTTCACATAATGTCAAAGTTGGCAGAAAGTTACCAGCTAATTCTCAGGACAAATATTAACTTGCCAATCCCATATAGACTTGAACAACTTTTACAATAAGTTTTATACTGTATTTATTGATTTGCCATTCTATCTCAAATAGTAAGAAAATTACAAACACTGGAGGCACCTACTGAAGTGTTTTAATTCCACTTTCCGTCAAATCAACGGAAGGAAGAAATTCTAAATAAAGAAAATATTCAGAGAGATCATGCAGATTTTGCAAATTTGAAAGGGGCATAAAAAATCACTGAATTGAATGTCTTTCCAAAAAGAGAACAGAAATTGAAAACATAAACATTGGATCATCATCAACACCCTTGGCTTAGGAGCGGTGCTGGGTGGGTTAGTTGGTAGTAAAGTAGCATTCCTTCGTGTGGTGAAGTGTTCCAGCTGGTGCCATGTTAGTGATGGCCTGCCTCTATCCCTCTTGCCATTCGGTCTATAATTTAAGGCCACCTGTTTAAGACCTTGTTACTCGTAACACTGCACATAGAAACTTCATCCGAGCTATTTCTATGCTTCTGGTTTCCTTTATACCCATTATCTATATTTCTGAATCATACTTTAGCATTAGTTTTGATGTAATATTATGGATTCTCACCATTGTTTCTTTTCTCATACATCCAAAATGTCTCTTTATTATTCCATTGCTTCTATTATATTTTTGTATTTTTTCTTCCATCTCTTTCTGGTTCAATCCAAATGAATTTCCAAAATATTTAAAAGTGCTAACTTGTTCAATTAATGAATTTTCTACTACTATTTTGGCTCCAACGTGTTCTTTGCCATAGAAGGCTAGTGTTTTAGTTTTCTGACTTGATATTTTCATTTGGAATGCTTTGCTTACTTTGCTTAATAGAAGGCTGCTTTCTGTAGTGTGTCTTCTAGTCTATTATAATACCGTGATCGTCTGCAAATAATATTGTCCCTAATTTCTGGTTGTTTGTTATCTTTATTCCTGTTTGCATGCTTTTGTCATATGAGGTGACAGTTGGCATCCTTCTCAGACCTGTGTTGCTCTTCATCTGTTGAGTTGTTTGTGCCTTGGTCATTTTTAATAATTATTTTGGAATCTTGATGCAGGCTCTGTATATTTTTGATTAAATGTCCTGGTACTGTTTCTTATTTCAGAATTTCCCGTAATTTCTACTTATTCACATTTTAAATGTAAAATACTTTGTAACAAGTCCTCCTATGATGAAAGATACTGACAATCTAACACAGATCATAACGCTGGGTTGCTACATACTTCGAGACTGAAATTCCATACTTTTCCAGGTTTCCCTCTAACAAAATTTATATATATATATATATATATATATATATATATATA